GTAATAAGTGTAATCCGCGCGCCCCCGATCCTCTCGACACTAATAGTCGAGGGATAATACAGATTATAACCCCCTCCGTTCCGTTCCTTGCCAATGGGGCTACCCTTCGAGCCGAAAGCCAGACCTGCTTCCCCGAAATGAACGTGTTTGCCACTTGAATAGCAATCTGAAACAATTCCGAAGCAATCGCAGAAGGTAACGTTGCGGTCAGCATTCTTCGTCGAATCGATTTTCGATTATTCATCCGTCTCTACAATTGCAGTCGCTACGATATCCTTCCGCGCGAATTACCCTCGAAAACGGCAACATTATGAATAGTATTTGGGATATCAAAGTGACGAACGGGTCGACGAACAGTCGACTAAACTCCAGTCTCGATTTTTTAATACGAAAATAAGTAGAAACACTTTGGTAACGTTATTAATTTTGGTATTTGTAAGATATTTGATATTTAAAAGTAAAGGGCACACAAATTGTAACGTAAGGAACCAGAGGCAATTCTAGTTTTTTAAAGAAGTTAATAAAGTATTGAACATAGGATTCTTACGACACAACTTTTCTCTAAAAAATTAATTTTGGTTGCGGGGCTCAATTACAATCATTTTTGGTGATTACACATACCCCTAAAATGCTACTCACTTTCGAGAAAAAAATTCTAGTAAGTGCCTCAATTTTTCGGTTAAAAAAAAAAAATCAAATCGCTCTGGAAAAATTATATTCAGTTGTGGGGGTTAATTGTAATCACTTTCGGTCATTAGACATATCCTCGAAATCCTACCCACTTTCGAGAAAAAAATTCGAGTAGGTGCCTAAATTAGGTCGAAAAAAAAATTTCAAATCGTTCTGGAAAAATTATTTTCCGTTACGGGGGTCGATTACAATAATTTTTGATGAATAGACCTACCCCCGAAATCCTAATCTCTTTCTAGAAAAAAAATTCAGTATTCTTGATTTTTCGTCTTATTTTGGCCTCTACCACGAATGTTGTTGAACACCCTGTATATTACGTCTGTGTATTATAATTTCATATACTGTATTCATATATAGTATTGCATAGTGTTAAATAGTATTAATTAGTATTAATCAGTGTTGTACAGTGTTAATTAGTAGCACGTAATGAGGTTATACATTATGTAAAACTTATAGTGGACTTATAAATTCAGTTATTAGTGTTACGAAGTGTTTGAAGAATTTTACATTGTAACATAATGTTAGAACATATGTTTTATGTTTTCACTAAACTAGACATTCCTACATATCTATAAAATATGAAAAAGTTTTTATTTATGTAAATACACATATATTTCTTTAGAAATAAAAACTTATTTCAGTTTCAGAACAATCTAAATGAACTGTTTGGGAGAAAGTTCATGTATTTTGTTGCAATTTAACAGTAAAATGGATAATCTTTTTTTTGTGTGCTTCGAAAATTTAATTGCAAAAATGATATATGGTTGCAAGAATATTTGATTTTTTGTAAATATGATTCAGATATTGAAGCTTCAACAAGTGTCAATTCTATTGAAAAAAATGGATCAAACAATGAATTTAATAATGCAAGCTATGGATAATAATACAAGCAAGGAATGAGTGCACTAAAAAGAAATGGAAATGATAACTGTTGTTTTGAAAGAAAAATATGTGAAAGAGAACCAATTCCATGTTTAATAGATGAAGCATCCAAATAAAGAAAGTGCAATTTACGAGTATATCCATCTTATAATGATCTTCTGGAATCTAAGAAAACTTACAGATTTTATAGAATCATAATGATGTGTACAACTACACAACTTCCTCTCCAAAATCTGTTAGAATACACAGTATTTACATATAATTACTTTAGTATAAACTGAAGTGAGTGACAGTGTAATTTCCAAATGTGATGACAATGATATTGATTCTCAATTAATATACAATTACAGTCTTGATGGCAGTAGTGGTCAAACTACATATAATAACAAATATTGGAAATTTAATTTCAATTTAATACATCAATTCTACTTCAATTTCTGACAAACAACAATATTATTCTGTGGAATAATAACATCCCATATTCAATACAGTTCTCCAAATGATAGAGACTAGAATCTGTTAAAGAGTCTGTAGCACAAATTTTAAAAGAAAAAGAAAGTATTGATCAGAAAATTAACAGTAAAATTTAAATTAATAATGACATTAACCGATGGAAAACTTACAACAAAACACAATGCTTACAACACAAAAAAAAACTTGCTATATGGAATTAATTCCCTGCATGCTTGGATCCAACTTGTTTAATGTATAATACATCATATAGATTATATCATACAGATTAGAAATTAAAACATGGCAAGTAAAACAGGCAGCAGAAAAAGAGAAGCTACAAGCCATAAAAGAAGAAATAAAATAAAATGTTTTGTCTTCCACAAATTACCTACAACTATCATTTTAACCTCAAATTTTTCAACTTTATTATTTCTCTCAAAACTTTATTTTTTACATTAGCTTACATAATATTTCGAGATCTAGTTGACCCTATTCACTTCACATTTTCTCGCGTCGTATTTGTTATGATATTTTTGTTTGTAATAAAAAAAATTTGCAACAAATTCTTGCGAGATTTTTCAAATTGTTGAATTGCATAAGCAGCGTTTTCATTAGTTGCACTTAGAAGAGACAAAACGTTCGCGTGGATCGATAATCGGCGTTTTATTTGCAGACGTAGGAAACGTTTAAAACCAGATCGGGGTTTGTTTATGATCCTTTGAGTACTGGGCCCTCTTGAGGTTCAAGTGTTCATAGGGTGGAAAGGGTCATCGTGTATTTTGCCACGCTGTAAGGGGTTGCAAAAGGAACAGGGTATGTTGGCACAGTTAACACTTAAACGAGGGTTGTTTCCTCGTTCTCCTATTACGCACCTTTCAGAAGCCATGGGACGAGTCTTCGTGAATTATACAATTAAACGCATACAAACGTAATTAATTGGAAAAATCCGGAACGTTAATCGACGAACAAAAACAGGCAAATCGTCTCAATTAATTACATCGCTGTAAAATATTTATTCTACTTTTAAATGAAAATCAACTGTTATACATCCAATTAAGTGAAATATTTATCAACATTTTAATTAGAAAATTAATTGACGAATTAAATATGCTCTTGCAGAGCATAATTAATCCTTTGCATTATAGTTATTTCTCCCCGTTTCTTCTCAGCTAACCCCTAATTTAATTTATCTTTTTAAATAGAGATTGTTATAAATATTTCTGACGATAATGCGTTGATATGTTTTTATAGTTATTTATGTCCTTCTAGTAAATAAATAGTAAAATTGGAAATAGTTTTCGATATATAAAGTTGGCATTTCTGTTATTATATTTCATCAAAATATATTCTTGTTTATCTTCCTCCACTTATTCTCTGATTTAAACAAATTAATCTAGAGTTATATTATGTAGTTTATTATTAAATTAATTTTAATGTAGACGCTATACTTCGAGGCTTCGAACCATATTTAATTATAACCGTATAGAGGGCGTTCCATCATCCCTGGGAAAAAACTTTAATGAGAAATTCTAGAGGCCAAAATAAGACGAAAATCAAAAATACCAATTTGTTGATTCAGACTTATTTAAGAAGTTATTAAAAAATTTCAAATCATTCTGAAAAAATTGTAATTGACCCCCGCAACTAAAAATAATTTTTCCAGAGCAATTTGAAATTTTTTAATTTTGTCGAAAAATTTGTCCACATACTCGAATTTTTTTCTCGACAATGCGTAGGATTTCGAGGTTATGTCTATTCACCAAAAATGATTATAAATGACCTCTTAAACCGAAAATATTTTTTTTAGAACGATTTGAAATTTTTTATTTTGTCGAAAAATTTGTCCACACACTCGAATTTTTTTCTCGAAAATACGTAGGAATTCGAGGTTATGTCTATTCACAAAAAATAATTATAATTGACCCCTTAAACCGAAAATATTTTTTTTAGAACGATTTGAAATTTTTTATTTTGTCGAAAAATTTGTCCACACACTCGAATTTTTTTCTCGAAAATACGTAGGAATTCGAGGTTATGTCTATTCACCAAAAATGATTGTAATTGACCCCTGCAACTAAAAATAATTTTTTTGGAACGATTTGAAATTTTCTAATTTTGTCGAAAAATTTGTCCACATACTCGAATTTTTTTCTCGAAAATGCATAGGATTTCGGGGTTATATCTATTAACCAAAAATGATTATAAATGATCCCTTAAACCGAAAATATTTTTTTTAGAACGATTTGAAATTTTTTATTTTGTCGAAAAATTTGTCTACACACTCGAATTTTTTTCACGAAAATGCGTAGGAATTCGAGGTTATGTCTATTCACCAAAAATGATTGTAATTGACTCCTGAAACCGAAAATAATTTTTTTTAGAATGATTTGAAATTTTTTAATTTTGTCGAATTTACTCTTTTTTCCTAATCAAATTACAACAATAATCTTATAAATTATGTTGTACATTTTCATCACGGATATAGTACCGTCCACTAGTAGGTGTTATACTTTCTTTTTTGGTAATTTATATTTGATTATTATCAGCGCTGTTCACGATAGTAATCGAGACAATAACATTTTTTAATAATTTCGTAAGGACAATTCCATTGAACATAACCGAACAAGAATGCAAGGGGACTGTGAAAAAATAGTTACCCGCAATTGAGGTTAGGTATTTACCATTTCAGGGTTTTATTCGGTGGTTGGTCGTAAAGGCCATAATAGGCGCCGGCTACAATGGAATAATAAGCATCGGTGGCGAATTATATACGGCACGTGTCTGGGCATAAAACTATAAAGAGATCGGACAAAGCTTCTGTTCAGTTCGCTTTCGAACGTCTCGAAACGTAACAAAGCGAGACGCGAACATAAACGTCTCAATAATGGTTTTATTATGCACCCGTTTTTCGACATATTTAGGGAACTATATTCGCCCCCTTTGTATTATCAATAATTGGTAAGCGATTTCTTCTGTCAATAATTGATAAACGATTCTTCTAATTTAACAACTGATTCGAACGTCAGTTGCTTTAATTTTGCAAGTACTTTCAATAATCGATTCTTTATTACTATTTTACGAGCCGCTTGAAGAAAAAGCATATTATTGCAATAACGAAGAAATGACTGTCCATCTTTAGACGACATCGAGATTTCATTCGGAGACTAAAAATAAATCCATGAGAAAGTAATATCTACTTTTGAACAATTATATAGAATTAAATTTGTTATTTAAAAAAGTACCTACTTTTTGAAAGCTCCTCAAAATTCTTTGTCTTATCTTTTTAGCCTTTTGTCGCCCAAATAAATCTTCGTCCAAGCTCGTCTTCATCGAATCTTCGTAGTCGTTCCATTCTTGTTCCCGTTGTATTTTTATCTCAATTATTTGATTCTCACTGATATCGCGTGTTCCATAATTTACCTTTGATTTGTGATGAATTTTCGCCAATTCGTTCTCTTGACGATAATTCTCAACCTTCGTTAAGAATTCCTTTAGCTTTCGAACTTTTTCTTCCAAAATTTGGAACATGTGCAAGCTCGAAGGACCTGCTTAAACAAAAGATTTTTATGATCAACCGTCCTGTTTTGCATGGCCATCACTTTACTATTCGAATCTCTTTATGTGTGTATAAAAATATAAATAATTATTTGAATTATAATCATTTTTATCGACACTCCAAAAGGCTGCCTATACTCTATGGGATCTACTATGAAGTTCTTCGAATTCTATGTAGGTGGCGGCTATGGTGTTTTCTCAAACATGGCAACCCTTGCATCGGCACAAAACCTTCAGGCTAATGCATAAAGGTCAGTAACGTGCATGCATTCCTGTGTAAAATACCTAACCTCTTAAATCATGTTCTCCGAATGGTTTTCGAGATTTTGAATTCATGATGCAATTGACGGCATGCTGTGTATACAAGGGTAAGTAACCACACTCTTTTAATAAACTCTCATCGAAGCTGGAAAGTTCCATATCTGGTTTTATCGCACAAGATTTCAACGTAGGTTGATCTAGGGAAATTGGTTTCATTTTTTTACGAGCAATCGCGCTAACTTTCCTTTGGATTGGTCGCGCCTTGCTTTTCATTTCCGGTTCAACATTCTCCAGTGTTTCTCTGAATGACCCAAACGTTTTTATTATTATATCGTCTACCAAATAATTTAATTTTCTGAATAGAAATTAATATGTGCAAGAATTCTCACCGTAAAACGCCTGGTCGAGTATACGCATAGAAATTTATAACGTAGGGAATTTTACATAAATCCGTTATGAATATTCGAATTTGAAAATTTAAACTTATATATCGAAGCGGCCTGTAAATTACCATGATTATTAAAGGTTCTTGACCTGGTTTAACGTGACCTGAAAAATGAATGTAATATGTATTATGATAATAACATATACAGGGTGTTAGGCTACTCTTGAGAGAAATTTTAATGGGGGATTCTAGAGGCCAAAATAAGACGAAAATCAAAAATAACAATTCGTTGATTGAGGCTTCGTTAAAAAGTTATCAACGTTTAAAGGTCCGCCTGTAGAACGGCGATCAGCGTGCACGCTATAGTGGAACTTTAAACGTTAATAACTTTTTAACGGAGCCTCCATCAACAAATTGGTATTCTTGATTTTCGTCTTATTTTGGCCTCTAGAATCCTCCATTAAAATTTTTTCCAGGGTTGGCCGAACACCCTGTATAACTACATTTACTTTTCTGGCGCCTGTTGTATTAATACAATATTAAAATAAAGGACAAAGAGAATTACTGTCATAAATTATATAAATTATATAATAATTTACTGGTTCTCAATTAAAGACCATGAAATGTAGTATCGTATAACATAATCTATGATTATGTTGGAAGGCCCCATTTTAAAGAACAGAAATTGCAAATTTACCCCACCGAGGATAGATGTCGACACATGGATCTTCTTTACATGGCAAGATGGCGAAAGAGAATTGTTTCTTCGAATGAGAGTATATTGGCATTTTGTAGCAAACCCTTGAAAAATAAACAATTATACTCGTTATGTGAATCACGTATTAATTAAGTAATAAGATAAGGTAAGTAATTAAGATAAACTTACGGCCGACCAAGCGGAACGACGCCAAAGTTTACGTTTGTAGGAAACGAAAAATCAGTCGTGGCCTTCGCGGTAATTTTAATCTCTAACAGTCGATTGTTGAAATAACGAATATTTAAGACATCGTTGTAATCTCTTGCTTCGTCGGGGATGAAAAGAATATTTAGTTTGAAGATCGATCCAGGAGTAAGCCACCTTCCCTGAAACAAATTTACACTTTTTTTAATTCTGTACGCAACACGATTTACAAGGATGACGAATATAATTTAACCTGAGTAATAGTTTGCATCCGAAAGTAATGAGTTTCCAATGGTAATGGTTGAATCGGGCATGATTTAGGGAAATAATTCGTAATTTCTATCGTCTTTTTCTGAACCTTTAAGTTTCCGCAATTAAAGGTGAATGTTAAGTTCGGTGGCGTCACGCTGAGAAAATGGATTCTCGCGTCTTCTTCGATATTGCCCAAAGCCTTTTTGTTTATTAAACATTGCGATCGATCGATTACATCGACATCCATTTCGAATTTAAAATTAACAAATAGTACTATCTATATACGTTGTTCGCAAGAAGGAAGATCTTTTATTCGTTTACAATATTACAGAAAATGGATGGAAGATAAGCATGTATTACTTCACGTCATTTCATTTGCATCCCCAAATAAAATTTTTTTTTCCAATTTTGCATAATCGTAGAGCATCGTAGCAGACATCGATTGTTACAAACACGTAAACGTATAATCATAACCTACTGTATTTTCAGGGAACATGTAATCGTAAATAATTTAAATAAACTAAAAGTTATGACAAATCGAATACTTCGTCCGAAGGCTATTTTGACATTCTCGAATTAGATAAATCTTAATCATAATCTTAATACATTCTGCGGAATTTAGAAAAAAAAATGAACTAAAATCTATGTACGAATCTCGTTAATTTTCAGTCGACGCGTTGTATGTTATATTTATCTGTTTACAAGTATCTCATGACAGAAGAAACAAAGATGGAGTGCACCATAGGGAGATAGCCATTCCTGTTTGTATTTGAAGATAGGATTATTATGCATACTTTAATAGTTATTTTCACTTGAACGGTGCCGTTGTTCGTCTGAAACAAATGACAAATTTTTTAAGAAATTGTCAACTATAAAATGAAAGTAACGTACCCGGCCGTACGTGTTTAAGCATGACTCACACACTACTATGTCAGTTTTTTACTATCCTGTAACTGTGTTTTTTATAAATACTACCGTATTTGTATAAATTGAGGAACTGGTTAATCATGAACGTGCAGATACTGCATGATGGGGTATGTTATTTTATTTCTTCGAACGAATACATTTCCTCTAATCAATCTTCAAATGCTTTGATGAAACTACGAAGCCGGAGGTTAGACTCGTGTGTCAATCATCCGATTTCTTATTTATTTTCTGTAGTATAACAGTCTTGTTTACGTTTCATTTCTGTAAAATTAATTATTACGCGATCCAAAGTTTCGAAAATGTATGTTGATATAAATGAATTGCAGCATCATATATTATGATAATGTTTACAATTAGTCATTTTATGATGTTTTTGCACAATCTTTGTTTAATATTCGTTAACCCTTTGACTGAGAAAATTAAACTATTTACAAATACTCTGTACAAGGCGATTTATAAATATACATGTTTATACTTCAGGGGATACGTAATATAAGAGATAAACAATATCATGACCATATGTTCTAGATTCTTTAGTTTTCTAGTTCCATTTAGTTTTCCCATGCAATAGAAATACGTTGTTGCGTTAACACTTTATCTACCAGTAGTGATTGAGGTTGCCACACAGTAAGGATCGGTTTAGTTGTATAACTAACAAATTTAACAGTAAATCCCATCGGACGAAAACCGTCGACAACCGAAAACCTATTAATAGGCTATCGGTAGATAAAAATTGGCAATCGAAAAGCTGATTAATAGGCTACAGGTCGATAAAGTGTTAAGAAAAATTTATTAGGATCAGATCGCAAGATCATGATGGCGATATGTTAGGTATATAGAAATGTTACAATAACTAGTTTTGAGAAAACAATGTCGAGTAACGGTTGACAATTTTATTTTTACTTTTACCATTCATTGTGCTTTTTCCAGTCGAGGGGTTAATATTTCTTTTCGTTGCGTTACATATATACACAAAAATTGTATGGAAAAAAATTTGATACTTGTAATTACAAAATACCGTTCACTATTTTTATAGTCCCCCTTATTGCGAGCAATATTTTACGGGGACGCAAACGAAGTTCTAGCGCTATTATCAAGACGAGAGGATGCAAATTGGCAAGATATAGAACAGCGTTCTCTCCTCCATGCAGCCGCATTTATGGGAGATGCAACAATCGTAGAAATGCTTCTGTTGCATGGAGCTGTAGTAAGCGCTAAAGACAAGACATGGCTAACTCCGTTGCACAGAGCCTGTTCCTTAGGAAACCATAACGTTGTGAATATTTTATTGCACTATAAAGCAAACGTCAATATTGGGGACCGTAATTGGCAAACTCCTTTGCACGTAGCAGCAGCGAATAATGCTGTACAATGCGCAGAACTGATAATACCACATTTAAGAAACGTCAATGTAGCGGATAGGTTTGTGTCTTTAACAGTCTCTAACAGATTTATTTGGATCTCTATTAACAAATGCGTACAATTTTTCAGGAACGGTAGGACAAGTTTGCATCACGCAGCCTACAACGGACATCTTGAAATGACAGAGTATTTGATTCGAGTCGGCTGCATAGTGAATGCTTACGATAGAAAGAATCGTAGGGCTTTGCATTTTGCAGCGTACATGGGACACGACAGTATCGTGAAAACTCTTATAGCACACGGAGCAGACGTAAACGTTAAAGTAATATAACTTTTCCTGAAACATTTTTTCATGATGATGAATTATGAAGTGTTATTTATATGTAAATTTTTATATCAAGGATCGAGATTTGTACACTCCGTTACATGCAGCCGCAGCTTCCGGTAACGTTGAATGTATGCATATATTAATTAATGCCGGTGCAAACATCGAGGCAAGAAATGAATTTGGAAATACACCGATGCATATTGCGTGTTTGAACGGCCACGCGGACGCGGTTAAAGAATTAATTGCTAACGGTGTGAACATTGGTAAGACGATTTAAAAATTTATCAAAATCAATGTTCCCTAATTAAGTTAACCAATGATCGCTTTATCAGAGGCCGTAAACTATCGGCGACAAAGTTCGCTACACGTTGCCGCTGCTAGCTCTCACGGCGTTAATTGTTTGGAAGTACTTTTGCACGCTGGTTCAAAGATAAATGTTCAATCGAAAGATGGGCACACGCCTCTGCATATGACCGCGATTCACGGAAGATTTACTCGGTCGAAAAGTTTATTGGACGCCGGAGCATCACCGGACACCAAGGACAAAATCAGAAACACTGCTCTGCACATAGCTGCTTGGTAAAATAGAACAGTAAACATTATTTCTGTTCGTTGTTTATTTCCTGGTGTTTATTCCAGTTTTAAATTTCGCTCAGGTTCGGCCACGAGTGTTTAACGACAACTTTGCTGGAATACGGCGCATCTCCGGCGGCTCGCAACGTTGAGCTACGTACGCCGTTGCATTTGAGTTGTCTGGCAGGCCATATCGAGGTAAAGTATCCAAACACGTGAACCCTCTATAACCCAAATTGCATTTGGTCTCTGAACAAAATTGCACAGTTGCCCATTGATAAACAGTAATATGATCAGTGGCGTAAGCAGCGATTCTGAGGATTGCATACTAAAATTTATGGTAAGTTAATCTTTTCTATTAAATTTTCTATTAAATGACGACTGAGATCTCGTGACGAAAATCTGTATTATTTGGCCCAAAGTAATTACCTCATCTTAGAAGCGACGAATTGTTTGGTAGATTTCAAAGTAGTCTGTACACTCAAAAATCACAATATTATGTTTGTAATAAGGACAGGATCCCTCGAACATGAGGGTCTGCTTCTAGCTACATCACTGAATAATACATAAATTGAAAGGTAAATTTTAATAAAGACGAACTTCCAACTGTACCCATTTTTATGTGAAAAACTATAAATCGACTGTGTGAACATATCATTTGTAGGTTATTCTACTATTTTAAAACCACTATTTATACTCATTTATAGTAGAATAAAATCAGACTTTAAAAATGTAGGCAACAGGTGTGTGTTATTTCAGAGTTGTGCGGAGTTATAGAGGGTTAATATCGTTTTTAGATGTAACAATAACTTTTTAAATAATAACATCCGCAGGTTTGTAGGAAATTGTTACAAGTCGATAGCCGGCGTATAGATACAAGAGATGTCGGTGGTAGAACACCGTTGCATTTAGCTGCGTTTAAAGGATCCGTGGACTGTTTGGATCTGTTGCTGTCCAGCGGTGCTAATTTTCGATTGACCGATAACGACAATAGACTGGCGCTTCATTATGCCGCCAGCCAGGGCCATTATCTTTGTGTTTTCACTTTAGTTGGATTTGGGAGTGATTCGAACGCGCAAGACGTAGATGGCGCCACCCCTTTGCATTTAGCAGCAGCCTCGAATCCTACGGATTCTGGTGCTCAGTAAGTGTTCGACTATTCACGCGTGTAACTCATCAACCAAAATTATAATTTAAAAATTGTAATTTTCATTGTGCGTTCAGATGCGTGCAGTATTTACTGAAACACAGAGCAGATCCTCGTTTACGCGATAAACGCGGTTTTACCGCAATTCATTATGCAGTAGCCGGAGGAAATCAACCAGCTTTGAAAGCCTTGTTGGAAGCATGTCCGCAAATGAACTTGCAGGCATCCAGCAATTGTACAGAGAAACAAGAACCACCAGCGCCAACGCTAACACCTCTACATCTTGCGGTACGATTTAAAAAATTAATATTTTAACATTGTTCGTTATCGAGAATATACTTATTTATCTATATTTCTAGGCATACTACGGGCACAGCGAGATATTGAGCTTATTGTTACCATTGTTTCCTAATACCAACATTAAAGAAGATACCGGTAAAACGCCCTTACATCTAGCTTCTTGCAAAGGCCATCGACAGTGTGTCGAGTTATTATTAAGACACGGAGCGTTCGTATCTGTTCAAGTATGATCTAAAAGATATTTTTTGGCTCGCGGGTGATCGTTACGTTGTCACTGATCGTTAATTTATATTTAGGACTCTATCGCGAGACGCACTCCGGTACACTGCGCAGCCGCAACAGGTTACATTGTTTGTCTGATACTTCTGCTGGAGAACACGGAAGACCCGAGTGTCGTTGACTGTTACGATGCGAAACAACGCACTGCTTTAACATTGGCGGTGGCGAACAGTAATACAGAGTGCGTTATTTCGCTGTTGAAATACAAAGCTGATTGTAACTTACCAGACGTAAACAAACACACACCATTGTTCCGAGCAGTGTTCAGCGAACACGACCAGCAGCTAGTAAAGTTGCTATTGTCGCACGGCGCGCAAGTAGCGGTTCAAGACACAAATGGTAAAACGCCGTTGCATTTAGCTGCTGCATGTGGAAGGTTCGTTCTTTCTCTTCGATTAAAAGACAAATTTACGGTAGTTCACGAAAACTTTCTATTGGTCGTGTTTCGAACTGTTGACAGGTGAAGTCTCATGGGACGTTGTTAGTACCATTGACTTCTACGCGTTTAAATATTTTAGTGACTCTTATAAAACATCAGTTGGAAGTCTTTCATAAATACTGCATATATTTGAATTATGTTTTAATATCGTTTATACAATTTTAACATTATTTACAGTATTCGAAGACTTAAGTCAATATAAGTTCGACAATACCTGGGAAAAATTTTAATGGGGGATTCTAGAGGCCAAAATAAGACGAAAATCAAGAATACCAATTTGTCGATGGAGGTTTCGTTAAAAAGTTATTAGCGTTTAAAGTTCCATTGTTGCGCGCACGCAGATCGCCGTTCTACAGGCGTGACTTTAAACGTTAATAACTTTTTAACTAAGCCTCCATCGACAAATTGGTATTCTTGATTTTCGTCTTATTTTGGCCTCCAGAATCCCCCATTAAAATTTTTCCCAGGTATTGTTGAACACCCTGTATTTCACTTGTTAACAGTTTCAAACACGACCGTTCGAGTACTTGCATGATACATTCTATAATCCCTTTCCATTTACATTTTACTTTTTTGTAGAGTGAAAGCATTAGCCGCACTCGTTAAAGCTGACCCTGAAGCTGCCACTCTAAAAGATGATCAAAATTGCAGTGTTCTTCATTGGGCTTGTTACAATGGGAACTCCAATTGCGTGGAATATCTTCTGAAACAAAATGTAGTCGATTCGTTAGAGGGTAAATATTTCACGTCTTTAAAATGAATTTAGTTTCCCGAACCTGACGTTATTTTTGTTGCATGTAGGTAATCCATTTTCTGCTGTACACTGTGCCGTGTACCAGGGATCGGTGGATTGTTTGAAGTTATTAATAACGAAATTTGGAGGGAAAACAGTTGCTGCTCTAAGGGATAATCCTGGCGATCGACTACCTTTACACGTTGCTGCCAGTGCAGGCACTCTCGAGTGCGCGAGATTAATTTTAAAATCAGTTGGTCCGGAATTAGCTGGACTCGAGACTCCGGACTACTCGGGTCGAACGCCTCTTCTTTGCGCCGCTGTTGCAGGCAAATGTGACGTTATCGGTAATTTTTGGTTAATACAAAATTTCCTGTTCTTCCGTGCCGATATTTGTTCATATTTATTACAATCCGATGACGATAGAATTATTGCTCGAGGGTGAAGCCGACGTGAGTGCCGTCGATTGCAACAAGAACACAGCACTGCACTTGGCTTGCCAAAGACGACACTCTGCTGCTGCTTCGTTGCTGTTAAATTGGATCGACGCTGCTAATACAAACGGGGAGAACACACCGCAGTCGCAGCAACAGCGCCTATCTGTTATCAATATGACCAATAAACAACAAAGGACTCCGTTACATTTGGCGGCAAGAAATGGACTCGTTAAAGTAAGTGCTCGCTTGAGAAATTATTATACTTTTGTTTTCTGAACTGTAAATTTTTGGTACGGTACTGCTAGCGAGATGATATTTGATTGTCAATTATCACTTATATGCAACATTAAAGAGAACAGAGCAGGGGGTACATACATGCACGTTTCAATAATTTTATAACTTAAATGCAACTAGAATATTAAATACATGTATTTAGTTTTGAGGTGGTGTTCGCTCGAATACTTTCTAAAATATATTTTGCCTATTCCTGTTATTGCGTATCTACAAAATGATATGTCAAGTTACCGAGACTCGTGTTTGCAGGTTACGCGTCGTTTATTGCAATTAGGGGCAAGCGTTGTGGTCGTTGACGTCGAAGGTCTTACTCCTGCATTGGCTTGTGCGCCGAATCGCGCCGTGGCGCGTTGTTTGGCCACCATCCTTGCTGCGCATGGTACGTTCGGTGGTATTCATTCGAATCCGTTGATCAACGTTGTTTCTGACAAATTGATTCTGTTACGGTCGACAGGTCAACACTGGGAAGCGGCGCAACACTCGCCCTCGATCCAACAAACGTCGGAAGTGTATTTAAACGGCAGAAGTGGTGACTCGCAACACAGTTCAGATTCCGAATTTTACTGACAATAGTCGTCGCAGTTAGGCCATCGCGGGTCTCAAATTCTAAACGTCGATGCAACTCGCGGGAATAACGACGCTGCGAAACCGGTGCCTGGATCATTTCGAATCCAGACTTATGAGAGCCTGGTTTTACCACTTGACACGTGATAAAAAACGCATACACAATGGACATTCTATACACGAAACCCGTATTCTTTTTGTATAGTTTATGAAAAGATAGGATAAATATTGTTTATTTATACTTTACAAAGATATTGTTCTTTTCCTTCGAATTTGTATTGTACATGTCACAGTGTTGTTGGTATTATTTATGTATTGTTTTTTTTAGGATTACTAACACTAATACTCGGTTTCAGAAACTTTGTAAATTACATAAATAATACTAACACGAATGTAATAGGTGCCAAATACTGATACGAAAGAAAAGAAGAATAGGTCTAAGAAGTATAAATAAAAAAATATCACGCATCACCGTTTTCAGGCCTTACTGCTTTTACAAGTTTACTACATTTCTAATGCACAATAGTCTGAGATAATATTGTCGAGGCACAAAGAATTATCCTGTCGGGGACAAACGATAGTCACGATGCAACTATAGACGATCGGAATTTTTTATTCTTGGGATAAATAGATCTTTTGGTGCTACGGGGTCGACCACCGAATCTAGATACTGTCTACCTATTTTTCGGGTTCTGCGATCATTTCTATAGCAGTCGAAGTAATGTCCAATTTGAATTTAATACAGAATTGCATTTCTCCCTCTGATACTCGTGCATTTATCTTTTATCGAGGTTCTTAAACGCTATATTTTATGTTGTATAGCGTATTTTACTTTTTCGTAAATTGTAGACATAATGTTTTTTAGGTTTTCTATTCGGAATACCCGTAAAATCTACGTGTTCGACAATCGTCACACGTTATTCTATACTTATTATCGTTATCAACGTATATGCATTTAGAATGCTCAGTAAATTATTTTCTTTTTTATACCGAGCGGTCGAGACAAGTTTCGAATCATATCGTGCGCATGGATTATGTATTTTTATTGTACATACTGATATCGCAATAATTGCTTGAACAGGGGGATATTAAATAATAGCCGACGGAACAATAGTAATATTGAATAGAACGAAGCAATTTCCAATTTTGTACGTAGTTTAAGCGAACCGCGCGAATTTCATATACAGTATTTTTCACCGAAAGATATAAATCGTATCTGCCTGTACATATTGATAAATATTTTTCAATACCGACGATCCGTATACACATATACAACGTGAGTTCCGGAAATTTAATACTGTATTACATCGAAATCGCGCTATAATTTTAAGTGCTACTGCCAATATTGTGCATCTATACTGCGTAACACATTTGTAATCAATAAACGACGTTACGTTTTATTTTTATATAACCATCTTGTGATTTCGTTGATCCAGCATCTCGTCACTTTTGTAAAATTATAAAACGACGGTCGCGTGGCTGGGAAAGTATATAGAATATATCACCGGTTCTTAATCACATTAAAAGTTCTTTTAATGTTATATAATTTACAAATTTTTACTAATACATATTTATGGATTTTCCGGAAAAAAATATTGTTTCAATCCTTTCAAGAAGGAATGTACGAATAGCGGTTCTGTTATGGTATTAGTCTCTAAAATTTCTAAAGCTTTCCTAATTCTTTCTCTGCGATTCTCATCTTCGTCCCTCTGGTTGCCTTGCTGCCTCCGGTCCTCTTGCTCTTCTTCGCCTTTGTTTATAATAACGATAACAATAAGACTTTATTACATTCGCTACAAGAATACTTATTAATCATCGTCGTTACCTTCCGTTTCTTGGTCTCTCTTCACTTCCTGCGGGTTGAATTTGTTCTCCTTCGGACTGAGCCTGTCTTCCTCCGAATTGAATTTGTTCTCCTCCAAATAAAACGTGTTCTCCTCCGGGTTGAATTTCTTCTCCTTCGGACTGAACCTGTTTTCCTCCGGACTGTATCTGTTCTCGTCCGGGCTGTACCTGTTCTCGTCCGAGCTGAATCTATTTTCCTCCGAGCTGAATCTGTTCCCCTCCGGATTGAATTTGTTCTCCTCCGGGTTGAATCTGTTCACCGCCAGATTAAATCTGTTCTCGTCCAGGCTGAATCTGTTTTCCTCCAGGCCGAATCTATTTTCTTCCAGATTGAATCTGTTCGTTTCCAGGCTGAACCTGTTCGCTTCCAGGTTGAATCTGTTCTCCTCCGGGCAAAATCTGTTCCCCTCCAGGCTAAATCTGTTTTCGTCCTCCTCGGCTATTTCTCTATTTATGTTCATTAAACGTATATTGTGACGCCTTTTGAATTTCGCTAACCAACCTCTGCTCGTCTTAAACGTCGAGCCTGCCGACAATTCCTCGTTCAGTTCAGCTGCCTTTTCCAAAAGTATTAAATCCGTTAGCGGATAGCCAAGCGTCTTTTGCTCCAGAAACCACGAATACAAACGTCCCTCCAGCTTCTCGTGCGTCGGTTTCCTCATACTTTTCCACTTCTTGAACTGATTCCCCTGGTCCATGAATTGACGAATGGCCGGTGCACTCGCTCGTATGCGCCGAATGGTAAGTTGCCGAACATTGTACCTAGCGGCTATTGCACGAACAGGCGATCCACTCTCTAATTCATGTAGGATCTTCACTCTCTGCTCCATTGTCAGTGTGGCTTTTCGCGTGGCCACCACTTTCACTTCACTATCACAGTTCATTGTCACGATTACGTAGATCGAATTCAAAAATATTTAATCGGTTCGCAAAACGGTATAAAATATCCTTTCGCTCGACGCTTTAAAAAATAATGACCTGGTTGTTGTTTCAGTTTTCATCGTTGGAAAACCCTTGTTTATTGCACCCGAAGTGCCTTCCATGCACGAAGGTAGGTCAGGCCCGCCATAAGCGGGGGAGTACAGATAAGTCAAGTTGCCCCAGGCCCTAGCCATACAAAGAGCCTTTCGAATTTTTTTAAAAAATTGAAAAAAATGTTAAATTTTAATGATCTTGCAGAAATTTAAAATCAAAAAAATAAAATTTGAAACACGAACAAGAACAATAAACCCTCTTCGCTTCACGTGACGGACCTGTATATAGGAACGTTGTCGTTGACTTTAACATGTTCGCCCCGACCAGAATTTCGATAACTCTGGCTACAACCCACCGGCGGTTTGTGCCGGAAAGAGTGATAACAGCCCATTGCGTATCCAAAAAGCGATTTGTCGTCGAGTGACACAAACGTTAGCAGTTTCATTACATCACTGATTCTAAATAGATAGAACAGGTGAAAAATAATACAGAGTCCTTTTCTTCGAACGTCGTTCATTCTGTCTTGTTCGCTCTCACTCGCTGTCCTTTTCTTCGACTGTTGTTCGCTTTTTCTTACTCGTTCTCGCGCGTTCTTACTCGCTATCCTTTTCTTCGATTGTCGACTACGGCCGTCAGCGAAAGATAAAGGCGACTCGGAGTTCGGAGGACTCGGAGTCTCGACGATGTAGCTGTGTATAAATATCTGCTGGTGTCGCCCCCGCTGTACGAAAGTTGAACCACACCAACCCCAGAGCGATGCTCAAGTTACGAATTATTATTGTACAGTGTTTTCGTCCACGACGTCTTTTAAATTGTCGACAGTATTATGAACCGAATATTTTTTATATATTTCTTTTATCGCGCTTTTTGATACTACGTATTTTGTAGCTATAACCACGGACGAGGTATATACGAGTAGACCTTTCACCCAATGTATTTTTTCGAACCATTTTTCTGGGGCTCTAGAGCCCCATTACCATTTTCGTGTCACTCGCGACGTTACCAACAGAGTTAGAAATAAACACAAGAGGAAGTGAGACAGAAAATGAAATTACAGGAGTGCAAAACCTATAGTTTCTTCCACAAGTTCGATCCTTACAACGAATTGAATACGATCGTACAGAAATTTAACTTTGCAGTTCGAAGTGAATCGTACGACATTAAGAGGACGAAAAGAACACACTGCATTTCAAGTCTTTAAGGCCGTATAATTTCCGCCTATTTTTCGTACAATTCAATTTTTAATACATAACTGAAAATCATTAGAAAGTCGCCTCGAACAGCGCGATTCATTTTACGATAATAATATCTTTTTTATCTTTAACTCTGATCACCTTGAACGGTATAATAGGAGTTATTACTTTCCTGTATCGGTAGAGGTAAGTATATGGTTAAGTAGTATTAAATAAGTGTTACATCATCTGTAACAACGTGCAAAACACATTATGCCATTATTCCAGTCGAAAATCTCTTTAATCGCGATGCACGCTTTCCATGTTACTATTATAACCCAGCTCGTAGCATAGAGAAACCCGCCATAGAAGTTTTCATAATCTGTTTCGAACATAAATAATTATCTTTGTACGTATATTGAAAACAAATTACTAATTGATTGCAATATGCGCAAGAATAATACTAGTTGTATGATCGTTTTTATTTTTCACTGATTGTAATTCATACTCCAGTGTAATATAATTTCTACTATTATGTACAAATACAAGTGAATATATCTCAAAAGATACGTTGAATTTATGAATTAAAATGAGACCTGATACTTGTACAATAAAAATTGTCTGATACAGGTGTGTATATCATAAACAATAAATTAAATATATGAAGAAGTTTATTCTACGTTAGAACCGGTAAATAATTGTACTTACACCAGTAAAACCGAACAACGAGAATACATAAAATCTTCCGGCCGTGATGTGCATCGTTTTTTGTCCATTCACTATACACGTCAATAATGCCTTTCTATCGTTGCAATTTACCTCTGGCCAGTTGATATTGTAAAATGCATCTCCAACCTTCTGGGACTAAAGCATGTTATCGTGTTAGTAATGTACGTGTCATAAGTAGCATTAATTGCGTTCGTAAGTACAGCATGCTTCGATAAAACGTAAACTAAACAATAACTGTTTGGAACGAGAAACAACTTAATGTTACTATATGTAAAAAGAACTCGATTCTATAAAATAATAGAAAATACGTTTTTCATTTAATCCTGTTTAACGAAGACAAATATTATCTGGATTTTGATATTTTATCGAAGCACTGCTGTATGGAAAATGTCTAAAGGAGCTGTGTTACGCATGTGGCCGTACGATGGCGCTTTACGTGAAAGTCTGGTCGACTCACGACTGTAGGGGAACCCCCAAATGAGGCTGAATAAATTACGTTTTACATTATTATCGGGCCACCGGTGCAAATAAAGTAGCAAAAAAAATATACATTGCTTTTTGTACAAATGTAAGTGATAAATCTTCCACAGCACGAAACAATTTGACGGATTGATTATTTTACTAAAAAAATTGTAACGAAACATGAGCTACAGCATACGCACCTCGTACATTACCTGTTCGCCTATATAAGAATACAAGAATAAATAAGAAACCACAAGAGCTGTGTGACCTAAAAAATTGTAGGCAAGCATCGGCTCTGCAGAGATTTTCTGAAAAATTTAATCAATACTCGAATGAACAAATACCCGTATAGTGACGCGCAAATGTCTGCAAGATGTTACAATGACTCGTAACAGTATTAATATTCGGGCACTATAGGGCAGATCAAAGTAATTCAAGTGAAGTTATATCGTTGATTGATGGAAAATTAAATTTTTCTTTTGAAAATTATATCTTTTACAGTAGAAAATCTATAGAGAAATAAATTATTTTTAAAATATACTTAAACTGCCTCTGTAACAAAATCTTAGCCTTATAATAGCTCGAAGTGGAGATTACATCCCCTGAAAATAATATATTAAATAATTAAATGCAAAAAAATGTTAGGTTATATTTTTAAAAGAAGATAAACGAAAGAACTACGGTAATTTCTACCATTTTTATTTCCAACATAGTGGAGATCGAACTAGGAATTTTATACAATGCGTCTCACGAACTCTGTCCACTTAAATATCTCGATTGTTTCAAACAATGCGAAGAAATGTTACTTACAGAAGTTGTAGGGCTTAATTATTACATTGTGTACTTTCTTAAATCCTACAACTTCCATAAGTAACATTTTCTCGAATTGTTTGAAATAATTAATGTTGGAATGGAAAAACACCATACAACTGTACGTCTTCGGTGGGCTATTCGGGTGAACTCGGGCACCTTCGGCGCGAATCGGTTGCCGTCGCTGCAACTGCTGCGAGCGTTGGCGCGAGAACAAAGGAGTTCTTCGTCGATGGTCGCAGGAAGAACACGCGGCGCGTACATGGTTTATAATAGGAGTAAACTCGTATTTACCATTCACTTTTAATTGCAGTGTGTTATTTGTGTAGCCCCATAAATCCAACAATTAAGATATTTAAGCGGGCAGAGTTCGCAAGACACATTGTATATGGGATAAACGTTATCTTTAAAAATGTTCGTGGCAATAACACTTTCAAACAATTGTTCAAATATTTTTGTTTCTATCGAGCGAAAAACTTGACGACTTTTGGAAATTGACCATTTCAGATCCAAATTTAAAATAAAAAAAAATAAAGGACAATTATGATTAAAAAAGAAGAATTTTGAGAATACATTTGTGCGTCACAGTCGCTGTTTTATGTTGATTCACATCTATCGTGCTGAAAAAACTTTGTCGCATATATTTATACACTTTATAATATTTTTCGTAATTACTTCTTTTTCTAGTTTACACTTCTCCAAGAAGTTATACGACAAAACTTTCTCGACACTTTACGCGCTAAAGAAATTCATTTACGTACGATCATGACAGCGTACAAAGTTATGCCCATTCTTAAGCTACGGCCTACGAGTTCTAATAGAAGAATCAGATGAAAACTGTCGTTTAATGTATCTGACAACCTGTAAAGGACTTTTGCTATATAAACTCTTCTCGAACTCTCACACTGCCACATTACCAAAGATATAATATCTACAGCGTCACCGTACATTATTTCTTTTCGAACGTCTCCCCATGTCTGACATACAATTTTTCACAACACGCTACAGTATACAGGGTGTTCGGCCAGCCCTGGGAAACATTTTAATGGGAGATCCCAGAGGCCAAAATAAGACGAAAATCAAGAATACTAATTTGTTGAAGGAGTCTTCGTTAAAAAGTTATTAAGGTTTAAAGTTTTGTTCGTACTGAATTTTTTTCTCGAAAGTGGGTAGGATTTCGAGGGTATGTCTAATGACCAAAAATGACTGTAACTGACCCCCACAACCGAAAATAATTTTTCCAGAACGATTTGAAATTTTTTAATTTCGTCGAAAAATTTGTCCACTTACTCAATTTTTTTCTCGAAACTGGATAGGATTTCGGGGATATGTCTATTCATAAAAAATGATTGTACTTGACCCCTGCAACCGAAAATAATTTTTCCAGAACGATTTGAACTCTTTTTTTTTCGCCGAATAATTTAGGCACCTACCCCCTGTCGATTTTTCTTAAAAATTTGTTTTTCATTTTGTTACGCGCTCTACAGAAAAGTTGCCTAATACTTTTTTGTAGATATCCATGGGCTCGTCGTCAGAAAAAAATTTCAATGAGATACCTTTACTTTTGTAGGAGTTACGGCCGTTTGAAAACTGGACCAGTTTTAGGGGGGATTTCTCATTTCACGGTGTCAAGGAACAACTTTTTCAGTATTGTTAGAAGTTCTACATATTCGCTACTGAAATACGCGTTGTTTCTGTTGGAATGGAAAAACACCATGCAACTGCACATCTTCCGTGCGCAGTTCGGGTAAACTCGGGAACTTTCGGCGCGAATCGGTTGCCAGGGCTGCGACCGTTGGCGCGAGAACAAAGGAGTTCTTTGTCGATGGTCGCAGGAAGAAGACGCGGTGCCTACATGGCTAATAATAGAAATAAACACATATTTACCGTTAACTGTTAATTATCGTGTGTGTTATTTGTGAAGCCCCATAAATCCAACAGTTTGCAATTTTTCTAATTTAATTTTATTATTAACTTTTTAACGAAGCCTCAGTCAAGAAATTGATAGTCTTAATTTTTGTCTTATTTTTGCCTCCAGAATCTCCCATTAAAATTTTTCTCAGTGGTGGCCGAACACCCTGTATAGGATGTTTAGAAAAGATCAAAGACTTTTAGGCTCGAAATAATAATTAACAGAAAATGAACGAATAATTTCGTGAAGAGAATAAGTGTAATGGTTTGTTATAAGAATGTGATGTATATCCAAATAAAAAGGTTTTAAGAAATCCTTCATTGTGTCATTTGTTTCATTCATCTTTGCAGCATATTATCGACCGAGCGAATTACTTTGTGACCCACTGTAGCTGTAAATAGAATTGAAAAGAAAACGAGAATTTTACGCGAACACCCGTATACATACTTCGTCAGCTTCAAATGCTCGATGACCACCTTTTTGATGTCGTCGTTGAAGTGTTTCGGTTGGATATTTCGAATACGATGGGACAATACCGATAATTTGGCACACAGGTGCAGCACCATGTTAACTATCATGCCAACTTCCCCTCCGTGATACACTGGTACGTAAATAATGGGGAATTGCAAAATGTACACCAGTGTGTAGAGTTCGGGATTTCTATAGTCAAACATCACGTAACTACGATAAGGCAACTCGTAGGGATTACTGAAATTACCTGTGAAAATATACCAAGTAAAAAACATTTGTGGCGAAACGATTTTCTAAACGTCTTATTTGTGCAGTAATTTCATGACACGAATTCATTTTAAACGTGATGGATTTCAGCTCGTGGCAGGTTAGGATTCATGATTCTCAGAACATTAAATATGTATGTTAAGTCGAAGTGTTTAAAACGATACGATGACTACTGCAAGGAGGGAATTCCAAGATTCTATCAGTAAAATTATTAAATAATTAAATCACGTACACTGTATTTATAATAGATTCTTTGAAAACATTTTTTAAAATAAAACTTGTTTCAAGTCGATAGCGTAATTAACACAGCTCATAACATAGTCAATTTTCATCCGATTTACTTGAAATTTTTCCTTCAAAGTTTCACCATTTTATAACGAAATTTAAAACGAATGTAAAACAGAAACACTTCGTAGGACTAAATTAAATGTAAGTTCGATTATGAAACAGGGATACATAGATAATACCTCGAACAAACGAAGAGAGTAACTGTATCGCAGGATTCAGGTACAACAGTATAGAGACAAACGTTGCCAAGAAAGCCACGCATTTTCCAATGCGTTGGGATATGATGTTGTAGCTAAAGTACAAATACTTCTCCTCGTCGTTCTCGAATGTCGCGTCACTAGCGATGTCCTCCTTCATCACTGTGATCACTTGTTCTAATTGTTTCCTACTTTGGGCTAACAGAAGAAAACCAAAGTACATAGTCGTAGTAACGATAGTTTCTTCCAAAATCAACGCCGTGGCGGTGAGGTCGCCCACGGAGTAAGTCAGCTCCCAATATTGCAACACCATCAGCAAACAGAAATACACAACCGTGAACTTGAACAACACATAAGTGCGTTGCGATGGCCAGTTTCCGCCTAACGAGAGAATCCGTTCGGTCAACACGAGCGGGTCTTTAATTTTTATCGACGCAGTGTCGACCTGCAACGTGCACAGCGTATCAATTAAACGATATCGAGTAGAAAAAAATAGTAGTAAAAAGGTAAAACCATCAACCTGGACATTCGAAAGATTACAAACCATTAGAGATACGTAGATAAACAAATAAAAATTATATGAATTTAACTGTTATATTCTTAGTTGCCTCATTTTAAATTTATAAGTGTACAGGGAATTGGGCCAACCCTGGGAAAAATTTTAGTGGGAGATTCTAGAGGTCAAAATAAGACTCGTTTAATATATGTATAGGTACCCAAATTTTTCGGCGAAATTCAAAATTTTCGAATCGTTCTAGAAAAATTATTTTTGGTTGTGTGGATCAATTACAATCATTTTTGGTCATTACACACACCCCCGAAATCCCACTCACTTCCTAGAAAAAAATTCGAGTAGGTTTGAAATTTTTTGACAAAATTAAAAAATTTCAGATCGTTCTAAAAAAATTATTTTTAGGTGCAAGGGTCAATTATAATCTTTTTTGGTCAATAGGCATACCCCCGAAATCCTACTCATTTTCGAGAAAAAAATTCGAGTAGGTACCGGCGAAACTTTAAACGTTAATAACTTTTTAACGAAGCCTCCATCAACAAATTGGTATTCTTGATTTTCGTCCTATTTTGGCCTCTAGAATCTCCCATTACAATTTTCCCCATGGGTGACCGAACACCTTGTATTACTGAATATAATAAACCTATATTATAAACTGTTTTTCAACAAAAACCTACGTCTATGGGATCTGATACAGTAAAACCGATACAGTGAAAACTTTAGGTTTTTCCTAACAATCATTCAGAATAAATGTTTTTCACAGCTGTTTCAAGACCTCAAACCTGCGGCGTAACAGTTTTTGAGTTCTGATTTCGACTCCTTAAAGTGAATTTGAATAACAACAAAAAATTGTATATTACATGTAGACGTTTTACAGATCCAAAAAGTTTCACTTTTGTAACGTTTTGGTTGAAGATCTTCCCTAGTGAGTTGTAATATACACGTATGTTCATATTATAACTCGTTTTTATCAAATTCAATTATTATTCTCTCACTTAAATTTCTCAAAATAAAGCTGTATTCCGTTGTTCACTTTTTATAAAATCCTGCACGAAAGTTGATTTTTCATAAAACTAGGAAAAATAACTCGATTCACTCGACGACTACGAGGCATAATTATAAATTATTTATTTTATAAAATGCACTAATTAAATGTACTCTTTCCTTATTCGTTTCTCGTTAAACATTCGAACCAAATCCTAACCTCGCTCGCTCCGACAATTTATTAGAAACTTTGTATGTTACAACTCACTGAAAAATACAATCGTCTTACTATCATCGTAGCGTGTCTTGTGGTAATTGACTGACGAGTTCAAACTGTAACTCTAATCGGGCAGCGAATTTTGTTTCAACCTAGTCACCTGATCGCGATCGATAAACGCTAATTTAGTATGAAAATCGACGCGTAGATCCAACTATCGCTTTCTTCAAGGGAAAAAGTAAATTGCACTTCCCCTCGTGTCATCAATTTGCCATTGGTCATAGCATTTCCACGCGAACTGAAACTCGCTGTAATTACGGGTGTTATTTCATATCTTCTGCGTCCAGACCTAGTCGCAATTATCGGTAGTTGCGGTTGACATATTATTATTATGTATCGAAAAGTTCTGTCGTTTTCACGGTCTATATGGTTTCCTTGACATTTGAAATTTTTAAACTCGTCGTTCGAAAATCACTAGTTTTCTACTCTGACACAACGTATAAAATTTAACTTTTTGCTATACGTTTAATAGCTAATATGTAAATAGTGTTTATGTATTTGTGATATTCATCGATTAAAATCGTGGGGAATAATTTTATCGTTTTCAGTATTTTTAACACATTTTGAAAAATTCAAAACGTTATCGTTCCGATAAAAATTTCAAATTGCATAAAATCAAAATTTACAAATAAAAAATTCTTGCTTTATAATTTATAACAATTCCTTACTTTAATAATCGCCTAAAATCGACGTCTCCAAATGGGAATACATAACTCCTTTAACTGAATGTTTCCGCGCTGACTGGAACTCGTCGTTCTTCTCAAGCACTGTGGAGGAAAATGGCGGCAAGATGTACTTACCTTCGTGAAAACTTTCTGAGAGAATCGAGCATCGATTCGACAGCATCAAAAACGATAACATTCTCATCTTGGTCACCGTAGGACAAGAACAGTGAACAGTGAACAATCGTAACCATTGAATTGAGACACCGTTTTAATCCCTGTTTGTCCATAAGAGCAACGAACGAACAGACATCTCGTGTCGATGTGATCACTCAGTTGTTCGGAATCATGGAACCGTGGGAAAAGTTAAAAATATTACTGACATTTTATTATAGGTCTATAGTTAACTATATAATGTAAATAACTTCTGCACAATTATTTTGTTTTATACTCTCTGCCATGTGTGATTTGTGTAAAATTGTGCTCTTTTCAGTGAAGTCATTGAACTGCTACATTTGTGTCAATAGATAGATTTAAAAAAATGATAATGAGAAGGCTTATTCCTTAATTGATAAATAATAAAGTGAGTATGAATTCAGTTTTTTTTTTTTAATCTGTAAATGGTGTAAGAAAATAGATTCTGCACATATTTTAATATTTTTATAATCCAAACACATAGAATTCAATGGAACTACTTTTATACCGGGTGTTCGGTCATTCTTGGGAAAAGTTTTAATGGGGGATTCTAGAGGCCAAAATAAGACGAAAATCAAGAATACCGATTTGTTGATGGAGGCTTCGTTGAAAAGTTATTAACGTTTAAAGTTCCATTATGGCGCGCGCGAATATTGCCGTTCTACAGGCGGACCTTTAAACGTTAATAACTTATTAACGAAGCCTCAGTCAACGAATTGTTATTCTTGATTTTCGTCTTATTTTGGCCTCTAGAATCCCCTATTAAAAATAAAACTCGACATGAAAGTGATATGCTTCTTTTTGGTTTGAGTCAGCTGCAAAAAAAAATAGAAAGAAATTATAATCATGTTATTGAATCTTAAAATGCGTTTACATAATATGAATTATCAAGGTTTTCTTTTCAGTTCGATTGTTGGATTATTAGATGGTTCTAAAAATAATAGAGAAAACAAAGTTATGTGTGTGCATTTATAATAAAAATATGTGACCTGTGGAAGTAATTCTAAGCTTAGTAAACATGGGTTAAAATAGATAATAATAATAACATAGTGGAAGAGATGTGAAACAATAAAACAGAGAAGGTATTTTAACAGACATTTATTTTACACAAATTTTCGAGTATTGAAACTGAGACTGTGTTTAATTAATAATTAACGCAGGACACGAATATTTCTAAGTATCGACACGACTTTAACAATTACAATCAGCTAGCAAGACTATACTATATTAATAAATTATAAATGAATCGTATAACATTCTTCATTTAATCGTGTAAGTACGAAATATTTATATGCATTTATTTGTAGAACTTTTCAACAAATGAGTGACGAAATGTTAACACGTTTTCATGGTTCAATATATTAACACGATGCCCGCGAAAAGTTACAGCAAAGAAGTCTTCCCAAAACTCTCTATCGAACTTCTTAGAACGCAGCTTTAATTACATTTATTATTTTTTTTTATTAGCAGCGTTCACGAGACCGATCTCTGATCGATCGTTTCTTCTTTCAACGATTTCTCAATTTCGAACAGTGAATTTTTCAACCACGACGTTACGAAATTTCCATTAGCTTCGACGAGCGCTGCTGCGTACCTCGCGCCCTTCATGCTGTCATAGTTATTTTCTCTGAACAATTGAAGCTGTAATACAAAACCGTTGGTCGATAATTAACCCATTTTTTTGCACGGAAAAATTGAAAACTCTTTTCCTCTTATCGCCACACTTATTTTCATCCAATCTAATTTCAAGTGTACAAAATATACAAGGTGTTCAGCTAATCCTGGGAAAAATTTTAATGCAAGATTCTAGAGGCCAAAATAAGACGAAAATCAAGAATACCAATTTCTTGATTGAGGCTTCGTTAAAAAGTTATTAACGTTTAAAGTTCCAGTGTCGCACGCACGCAGATCGCCGTTTCACAGGCGCAACTTTAAACGTTAATAACTTTTTAACGAAGCCTCGATCAACAAATTGGTATTCTTGATTTTCGTCGTATTTTGGTCTCTAGAATCCCCCATTAAAATTTTTCACAGGGTTGGTCGAACATCCTGTATAATACTTGCTTGTGGATATGTAAAGTTGATTATAATGAGTACTTACGTCTTCTAAATCTTGTTCGGTGGTTAGACCATTGCTCATGGATAACACAAAAGACTTCAGAATCGTGTAAGAGCCGGCAAATCTACATTGCGAAAAATTTTTAAGTTTTATGATTTCTTTTACTACAAAATTATTTATAAATTTTTAATTTACTACGAAACGGTACCTTTGTGCAATTTCTTGCCAGTTTGCTCGAACGAACCGAGATGCAGCTTGGGCCGCGGCTGGATTTCGGGGAAACGATTTTAAAATAACTGACACCTCGTCCTCCTGGAACGTTTCTTCGTGGAGGATTTCGTTGAGTATACTGTCATTAGGTACAATCAAATTATAATTCATACTAACAGCAATTCTACCAAAAGTGTCGAAGACATTAAAAATGAAATTATTTGTTCATCATTTTTCTTTGATGGACTATTTTCACTTTATATAAAAATATTTTTTTTAATAATTATTTCCACAGTCATTTGCAATCCAAATGCAAAAGTGTCGAAAGAGAATTGTTCAATTTTAAGTTAAAATTATTTTGCAAGTTCACTTTCCCTCGATTAACTTTTTGACTTCGTGAAAATATTTTTTTTTTATAATTATTTCTTTGCTCGAAAAGTGTAAAAATGGACGGATTATAATTTAGAAATGGAACGTAAAAAAAAATTAGTAAATTAATAGTAAAATCTCGAAAGGTAATTTTCGTGTCATTTAAAATTCTTTGTTTTTCTCATCTGAGAGAATAATCCAGATCAAATAAATATTAAAATATTTCCCTTACGATTGAAGAATCCACGGAGCTTGGAAACAGGCGAACGACGATAACAATTGTTTCCTCTCTTCCTCGTCTTCAGTCAGAGTTACTTGTTCGGTATAGTAATTCCATTCCTTTCGCGTACCATAACGCGCAAGAGTGCAATAAAACGTTTCACGAATGTACGAAGGGATGCTGAAAAAACACATCTTAACACATTACCGACCGATAGCCTATTAATCGACTTTTTTACCGGCCAACACTTACCGACCGATAGCCGATTAATCAACCGCTACCGGTCGGTAAAGTGTTAATTAAGAGCATTGAATCGAAAAGAAAAAATTTAATTAACGAATGAAATTTTTGTCGAGCTTACAATTCCTGGATTTCCTCATCAGTCTTTGCATTTTCGAAAACACCTTTGACCCAGTCCAAACACTCTGTGTGTTCGAACATACATGCCATTTTCACAGCGATCATCGTTAAATGCGAACCTTCTTCGACTTTCAATCCCACTTCGTTGTACAGGGGGGAAACAAACTTCACTATAAACTCCTGAAATTAAACATAACAGTATCATGGAGTATACTATGTAGCCTAAATGAAATGTTTCTGGTTTGATTTCTCAAAAATCAATGAAAATATCGACTTCAAAAAATACATGTATGGTATTCCACTCAAAAAATTGAACTATTGAAAAACTGTCCTATTGATAATAAAAACCTATACAACTTTTTGACTTGCCTGGAAATCGGTAAAAATGGAAGTATCGTACAAAAGCCTGTTCAGTTTGAACGCGTGTTGCATGAACGCAGTCCAAGGCAGATAGTGCCGCTCCTTTATTTGCAAATATTTAATAAAGTCGAAAACAAACTCGTATTTCATCAAACCCATCGCGGCCAGGCTGAAAATATCGTCTATTAAAGAGGCTCTCGTTTCCGCCGGAAACTGTTCGTGATTTTCTTGCAATGCCCTGCTCAGAAGCATCCAATTTATTTCGTCGTAGTGTACACGATAGTATCCTTAAAAAATATTAAAAAGAAACTGTGGTTAGACCATCGTAAACAGCAATTACAAATAAATTTAGTCATAGAGACAATGGAAAACCAAAATGTGAGACAATAAATACAGGGTGTTCGGCCAACCCTGGGAAAAATTTTAATGTGGGATTCTGGAGGCCAAAATAAGTCGAAAATCAAGAATACCAATTTGTTGATGGAGGCTTCGTTAAAAAGTTATTAACGTTTAATGTTCCAATGTCGCGCGCACGCAGATCGCCGTTCAACACGCGTAACTTTAAACGTTAATAACTTTTTAACGAAGCCTCCATCAACAAATTGGTATTCTTGATTTTCGTCTCATTTTGGCCTCTAGAATCCCCCATTAAAATTTTTCCAGGGTATGGTACAGTCAGTGGCAAAATTATTTTTAAATTGTTCCAATTAATTTTTTTAATTAACACAACATTTTTACCAGTTTTGTTTATATTAAACAGAACCCAAGAATCGTTCGAGCCAACGTTGTCCATAGTGAATTTTGGCTCGGGTTGAAACCATGTTCTTTCAGGATACGACCAATTACCGTTCTCGTTAATATAGCTCAGTGGAATATGCCAAAACCTGGAGATATTTTCTAGCGGTTTATCCAATGCAAATTGTTCCTAAAATAACGAATATAATAAACTCTTAAAATCGACATTATTTAAATCGAGTGCTTCCTTTCTTTAATTTATTCGTATTTTATGATTTCTCTCCTTAACTCAAACGATAATCAGGTTTTTGTTAACGAATTTTTTCCATCGAAATTTTTGGAATAACTGTTATTTTCTGTTTATAATACACTTTCAGCGATGCATTAATACCTGGTAAATAGTGGCGGTTCCTGTTTCGTAATTTCTGATGACGGTGACAACCGGATATCCGCCTTGGGAGATCCAAGAATTCATAGCTTCTTCCAAACTAACTCCAATGGTTGAGGAATCATCGGTAGCCTCCTCCGCCATTGCACTCATAAAATCGGCAACATACGTAGTATTGTATTTCCTGCGTGAATAATAAGATTTCTTTCGCTATAGTACAGATTATACTTCCCAGTAGACTCCCGTATAATATTGCAATTGGTTTCATTAATTTATTTCTTTTGCCCAATTTATACGAAATAAAATAGTTTCATTTACACACATTAGTAATATGTGTTTTTTTTAAATTAATAGCATATACAGGGTGTTCTGTCAACCCTGGGAAAAATTTTAATGGGAGATTCTAGAGGCCAAAATAAGACGAAAATCAAGAATACCAATTTCTTGACTGAGGCTTCGTTAAAAAGTTATTAACGTTTAAAGTTCCAGTGTCGCGCGCACGCAGATCGCCGTTTCACAGGCGCAACTTTAAACATTAATAACTTTTTAACGAAGCCTCCATCAACAAATTGGTATTCTTGATTTTCGTCTTATTTTGGCCTCTGGAATCCCCCATTAAAATTTTTTCCCAGGTTTAGCCGAACATCCTGTATACTTTTTTTTAAGTGTCTCATTTGATAAAACATAGAACATAAAAGATGACATGACAGTGATCGTTCAAAATATGTTACATTTGAATTATTCGCGTTATACGGGGAGTTTACTGTATTAACAACCAAAGACGAAAATTTCACAAAGAAACATTCAATTGTATCGGTATAGATTGAATTGATATACAGGGTGTCTGTGAATGTTATGTATAACTGGAAATCATCATTTGTTAAAAAATACGAAAACGATACATGCGGCCGTTAAAGTGTTAAGATCTATAAAACGCTTGGAATTGTTCGCGAATGATATGTATATACCCACCACCTCGTTATCAATTTCTCGTAGCCGTTCCTAAAGGCGGTATCGCTTATCGCGCCATGCAACATGCGTATCAGACATGCACCTACAAGAAGTAATCAATATGCAAGAACGTTTCACACTTATGGTACCTTGAATAAGCAAATCAGATTACCGGTTTACCTTTCGCGTACTCATCGTTGAAGGTGTGCAACAGTCGATAATTGCTGCTTTCGTGCAACGGCCTCGAGATGCTGTAACCGTCACTTTCCATGACTTGTAATTGGACGTCGGTGATGAACGAATTGCTCAAGTTCAATGACAAATCTATCTGAAAATAGAATTTTATCAAAACGGTTTACAACGCTGCTCTGCCTAAATATCAACCCATTACAACCCAGCATAACTCTCTACATATCCATTATTTACTATCTTAAAATGTAAATAGTGATTCAATTTCAATGTGCATTGATTGTGGTATTAAATCAATAGCATCACTGACGAGGTGTACGAGTAGACATTGAATCATATGTAATTTTTCAACCCCACTTTTCTGGGACTCTAAAGCCCCATTACCATTTTTGTCTATCTAGCGATATTGCAAATAGGTTTCTCATTTTTGATAAATTTATTTGACGCTGTACGGAAATGTTGTCTAATACTTTTTTGTAGGTATCTATGACCTCTATTTCAGAAATAAATTTCAATCAAATCCAGTTACTATTGTAGGAGTTATGGCCGTTTGAAAATTGGACCATTTTCATGGGGTGTTTCTCACTTTAAGTCAAGTCAAATCTATTGTCTTTAAACTTGATATATGATACTTGATAAACTTGATAATTATTCATTTGTACACCTAATATATATCAATTTAGTCGCTTGCCTTTGGAACGATCTCGTGTTGGAAATAAAGCAACGATCCCTTGTAGACCCACGCGTCCGTCCGATTCGCGTTCATAAATTCATCGATCAATTGCTGTCCGAACAAAATGACTAGAATCTTCAGAGCATTGTGTTTCGTGACCAGCGGCGATGTTGCGGTGGCGTAGAACGACGACTGCCTTGAAAAATTCAATTTTTTCAATTCACCTTCTATACTATCACCTTGCAAATACCCGTTAAAATCGAAGTCGAACGATTGGGGGCCTTCCCTTGTAAGTGTCACGTGAATCGAACAAGTATAACACACATGGTAGCCACAACAATAGTTAATTTTACAAGTTAAAAACGAATGATGACTCTTACTTCATTGCTATTAGTCCAGGCCTGGCTATGCTCTCGTCGATCCCCGGGGGCAAGCATACAAGGTCCAACTTAGGCAGAGAGTAGGGTACCGGGAACGCGTCGATCAGGTTAACGACAGCTGGCTCGAGTTTGTCGAATAGGTAAATCCCCTGTGAGCGTTCCTTAGAATCGCTCCAAAACGTCGCGGGTACCTTGAAATCGCCCACAAGTGTCGTCCCAGTATCCTCTATGTGCCCCATCAGAAAAGCTAAACTCTGCGGCGAAAGTGGCGGGGATTCCTCGAACGTGTCGACCACCATCGTTGTGTTCGGTCTGCAAACAGAAATAATCGAACAATTATTACAATATCCTCTATAAATGTCTACAAAGGGTAACTGATCGAATACAGGTTCCTTTTAAAAATCTTTTTTCTTTCGTCTTCTTTCGATTAACAGTGTTTTTAAAATCGAGGCACTTGTGAGAAAAAAAGTTATTCCATAAAAATTAATATGAGACTAAAAATCAAATTTTTAAAAATTATAGTAAGAAGTCTTTTTTATAACGTTTTAAAAAAATTTTTTTATGTGTCTTATAAATGAGATAGAATCATTGAAAAGTCGTAATTTTTGTTCGTTAAATTTGGTTATTAATTTGTTGCAAATTCTTCGATATATTGGTGTGAAAATAAAATAAGATTAGGAAAATGGGTTCCATTGTGTGGGAAATATATTGATACCGATTTTCGCGGGCAACGACAACGCAAGTGACGTCATGCGAGAGCGACACCTTGCGGGTTGCGGGAGATTCGCGAACAATAGATTTAACGAGGCAGTCGTCGAACTACCGATAGCGAAAGAACACGTGTATATCTGTAGCTGTTCCCTTATAATTATAATACTATCATTAGAATAAATTTTCTTCTAACAATATTATCTAGAATATACAGTTGGTCTATTTAACACATTTAATTGATTAAGTAAAATTATTAGAAATGTACAGGTTCTAACAAAATGGCGGTAACAAAAGTGTTGATCCCTTTAGTCCTCTTATTTTAATTCGAAAGAAAAATTTCATGCTTTGTCGAAATGATCGCTGAACATTCTGGGATTAACAAGCAAAATAAAAATATTATTCTACGATGGTTTATATAACACATTTAATTGATTAAATAAAATTATTAGAAATGTACAGGTTCTAACAAAATGGCGGTAACGAAAGTGTTGATCCCTTTAATCCTCTTATTTTAATTCGAAGAAAAAATTTCACGCTTTGTCGAAATGATCGCTGAATATTCTAGGTTAATATTTTAAAATAAAATATTATTCTACGAAAGTATAATAAATAAGTTTGAACATTTACCAAATTCAAAAATTCCGTCAAAATGATTGCTTTTGACATGGATATGTAAATATTAGTAATTTCAAATTATTTAAATAAAATATTGATAAAATATCGGTTTTGATACGTTGATGTACCTGAACTGGGTATCACCAAGCATCCTAATTTACAATTTGTAATTAGAGATGTAAGGAGAAGGAATTCAATAGTTTTGCAGAAGCATTTCATATGAAATTAGTAGAAAGGTATGAATTACTTACACTTCTTTCAAGGTCTTCAGAGGCATGTTCGAAAGGACTTTCGTCTCCTTGGAACGTGCCACGGATATGGAGAAAATTGACTTGTGGTCCGTCTCGTCAAAAACTGGGAAAAGGTATCGAGCATCGAAACGTTTCAATTTCGTCCCCATCAGCCACCTGACGCGAACGGATCAAGAATTAGGCGAATTATTTAAACATTTCTACCTGCAATCGATCGTCATACAGCACGGTAATTACTAAAAAATTTTTCATTATTTCTCTTCATTGTAAACCATACGTAAAATTAATCCAAATTCTTAGAAGATTAAATGTTAGAGGATAATCTACTGTGAAAGACGTCGGTGGTGATTTGGTTGAGTGAGGTTGGTAGTGATGACTAGTGAGGTTAGTAACGAGGAGTGAGGGGAATACTGTGTGTATCGAGAACACAAAGGAGTCACACAGAACAAAAGAGAGTGGAAAGAAAGAGTGTTGCATATTTGTTGAGGGTTAGGTTAAGCTTTTGTTTCTATCTTATTATAAATCTGTTATATTAACATGTTCACTGCCAGATCAAAACCCTATAATATTCTACAAAAGTGAAACTTTGATTTTAGACCATTCTAAGCTACATAACCTAAAATTTGTTTCAGCAGTTATTATCGTAATCTTGTTGAAATTCATAAATTCCATTCAAACTTATTTCCCTGAACATCTTTATTTAAGAATTAATTTTTCTAGAATCATAATAGTAAATCCTGTCACTCATATATGGGTGGTGTGGCAGTCAAGGTGTTGAGAAAGAAATACAACATTAAAATATGAACTTCTCGGTGTCCAAAAACTCCAAATAAATACTGGTATAAGAATTTTGATAACATCTGTTAATAACAATTAATAGTTGGCTCTAAATTTACATCTTTCGTATTGTTGCTGTACGAAAATTCTTAAAATTGATTATGCAACTGCCATTTTGCTAGCGTGATTAACACAGAATGCTGGTAATTATTTGCAAGATTGCACTTATTTTACTATAATCGATGACCAGTAAAAAATTAGGTAGAGATATGGTATTTACTTTTCATCGCCAGACGAAGTGTAATTAGCAACGAAGAATGCATTGTCGTCGATTTGTGCTTGATAATCGATTTCCAGGGAATAAATTCCTCCTTGAATCCGAGTACCCAAGTGAATCGTGTGAATTTCGTTATTCTCGTCCGTCGTGTGTTGTGTAATCTCAATTTCCGTTGAATTGGTGTCTGAGAAGGCGTAAAACGATGTTATTGCTTTTTAACATTCCGAACTAATTTGAAATTTTATGCGCATATTACCATTTTTATAAAACGAGCCGCCATTTATCGAAGATACTTCCGAGAACTCGATGAAAGATATGTCTTCCGTTTCATTCTCCGTCAGCGTTACTATAACGTCCCGTTCCACGGAATACCGTGCTGCAAATAAATTAAATTTCGTTTAAACAAACAAATTTTTGGTAAATGATATATCGAAGACTTACTGCTGCCATCAATTTTGTTTTTTAAGAAAAGAATGAAAGAATATTTGGGCCACAATTGGCAGAACCAACAGCCATAAATTATAATGAAACATTTTTAAAACAATTACTCAAGAATATAAAAAGGGAATTAAAAATAAGTAGGATGGTTTTATTTTAAACGAAACCAATTTTCTTTTCTACATCTCGAATTTTTTTCTAGAAATTGGGTAGGATTTCGAGGTTATGTGTATCCACCAAAAATGATTGCAATTGACCCCTGTAACTAAATATAATTTTTTTAGAACGATTTGAAATTTTTTAATTTCGTCGGAAAATTTGTCTACCTATTGGAATTTTTTTATCGAAAGTGGGTAGGATTTCGGGGGTATGTGTAATGACCAAAAATGATTGTAATTGACCCCTGTAACTAAATACAATTTTTTTAGAATCATTTGAAATTTTTCAATTTCGACTAAAAATTTCTGTACCTTCTAGAATTTTTTTCTAGAAAGTGCGTAGGATTTTGGGGGTATGTGTAATGACCAAAAATGATTGTAATTGACCCCTGTAACTAAATACAATTTTTTTAGCATGATTTTAAATATTTCAATTTCGACTAAAAATTTCAGTACCTTCTCGAATTTTTTTCTAGAATGTGGGTAGGATTTCGGGGATATGTGTAATGACCAAAAATGATTGTAATTGACCCGTGTAACTAAATATAATTTTTTTAGAACGATTTGAAATTTTTTAATTTCGACCAAAAATTTCAGTACCTTCTCGAATTTTTTTATGACGTGTCCTATTTTTTAATGTAAAAAAATCAAACGGATTACCAAACGTTTCGTCGTCCTTGTAACTCAGGTAATTAATTTCATCCTCGGATCTCGGTCGTCTCCTCCTTGATCGAGTTCTATTTCTCTCTTCCCCTGGATCCAACATGGATAGTTTATAACGCGACAACGTGATGTTTATCGCGTTTAAAGACAGTTTGCTTAAACTTGTCGTGTCGTTTACTTGGAATTCGATAACCACGCGGCCCTTCAGCCTGGACGGGCCATTAATATTAATTATTGGAGTTACACCGAGCCAGTATTTCAAGGGATAAACGAAAGGAGAAATCGGCGCCTCGATGCTCTCGGGATCCTCGATTTCATCGTTGAGCAGATCGATGGTGTCGTAAGACTGGGAACAATTCAACAAACAGGTCCTCCCATAAGTTCGTGCTGTTCAACATCTTCAAATCGACGAGGATAATAATTTAGTAAAAAATGAAATATCATTTGTGAAAATATTTCCAATTTATTGGAGATTTAAACAGTGTATTTTTCTTTTATTTCTAATAAAATCAACAGTAACGAAGGAAATCTTTCATGGCATGTAATTTAGTATTAACACATTACCGACCGATAGCCTATTAATCGACTTTTTTACCGGCCAACGCTTACCGACCGATAGCCGATTAATCAACCGCTACCGGTCGGTAAAGTGTTAAAATAGACATTTTTTTTATTATTTTATTTTCTTATTTAAGTGAATTAATTTGAGTAATTATTCGAGACCCACATGAAATAAAATTAATTTCCTTTCCTCTCGTTGCATTTTATGATTTTAAATATATTTATTGCAACTCTAATTTTTGTTTTATTTCTAATAAAAATGTCTAATATTGTCAACCTTAACGAAGGTTAATTGAGGTTAAATCTTTCATGGCATGTAATTTAGTATTAAAATACACATTTTTTTTATTCAAGTGAATTAATTTGAGTAAAATAATAATAAATTTCATTAAATAACTGATTTTATCAAATTTGTTGTTTTATTTCGAATAAAATGTGTATTCTATAACAACTATGTCACTCACTTTCTTCTTTGGCAAGGAGTTGATGTACCATCCGAGGAATCCAGCGGCGACTATGCCAATAATAAATACTATGATAATCGCCGCTATCTTCGTGTAGGATAAAAACCAACCATTGTCCCTTTTGTACTCTATATCATCGCAGGTCATAAACTCCACCGGACTGCCACTGAACTGTGGCATAATTTGAGCTGAAAAAATTGACGCAAATATGAAACGAGCAAATAGTAAAATTGGGAAACGTCTCGAGGAAAAGATTTTTACCGAATAAAAATCTTTTTTTTTTATTTGATCAACCTTGAGCGCTGCAATCACCTAGTGTTTAAACACATGTTTACCGCGGACGTGATAGCAACATTAAAAGTTAATAAAAATTAATCCAAAAATTATCTTGCATTCCCAAAGGATAGCTAAGTTAACTGCAAAAAAGAATCATAACGTCAGGTGCAACATTTCCTTAAAAAAAATTGAGAAAAATGGTTCAATTTTCTATCATTCACATAAGACTCTTCCCTTGACACATTACCGACCGATAGCCTATTAATCGACTTTTTTACCGGCCAACACTTACCGACCGATAGCGTATTAATCAACTTTTTTACCGACCAACGCTTACCGACTGATAGCCGATTAATCAACCGCTACCGGTCGGTAAAGTGTTAAGTGGACGCCAGATTTTCTTTTAGGTGGAATCTAAACGTCGCCTCGCTTCTTGTTCAATTTTAACAGAGTAAAGACGTCCTTCCAAACCATATAATAAAGTTTCACTTTTACTTAGAAAGGTCCTGCTTTTTCACTCAATTCCAATGCTTTTCTATTAAATTGGAAATTTTATCCTCAGTTTTAGAATATCGAATGGTAAGAACTTATGGGGTGACCTAGTATTATGTACCACAGTAGCTTTGATGGCTCTAGATAGTATTGTCGTCGCCATAATCGTGACGAATTCGCGTTATCGGCCAGGTCGAACGTGACCATTCATCGTTGCAATTGATTCCCCGCGTTTCAGGCTCGATGCAAATGCTCGTAAATATTCTAAAGAAACGACCATTCAAGGTCCTTCCCGTGCACGTTGCTGACCGGCTGTTAACTTTACCATTCGCATAATCGTTCGCGAAGTCGACGTAGTCTGAGCTATAATTCCTTAGACGTTCGAGACGTCAGGCGTGGAATTCTATGAGAAGGCACGTATAGTGTTGCGAAGTCGATTGTTTCCGATCGTTCGCCACTCAATTTGCACTTCAACGAGCATTCGATTCTTTGAAAGGCTTGCAACTTATGGAAATTTTTCGAAGTCGAATAACAATCTCTTCAAAAAAATTAGAAATTAGCAGGTGACAAATGTACAGATATTAGGTCGTCACCAGTATATTTTTGATATTCTGAAATTGAGGAGGATCAAATTTTGTGATTTAATAGAATACAAAACGAAATTAATTTGTTTCGTGACACGAGTTTTTTAAAGGAAGAATTGTAACATTATAGTGAAATTTAAATATGTGGATTTGAAACACATTTAAACATACAAATGAAATTTCGGGGAAACATTTCTGGCCACACGGTATATTTTCGGTAAAGAATTTTTTCTCTCGAAAATACGCAGGATTTCGGGGGTATGTGTATTCACCAAAAATGATTGTAATTGACCTCTGCAATCGAAAATAATTTTTTCAGAATGATTTGAAAGTTTTCAATTTTGTCGAAAAATTTCAAGACCTACTGGAATTTTTTTCTCGAAAATGCGTAGGAATTCGGGGGTATGTCTATTTACTAAAAATGATTGTAATGGGCCCCTGCAATTAAAAATAATTTTTTTAGAACGATTTGAAATTTTTTTTTTCGTCGTAAAATTTCACACCTTCTCGAATTTTTTTCTCGAAAGTGGATAGGATTTCGGAGGTATGTGTAATGACTAAAATTAATTGTAATTGACCCCTGCAACCAAAAATAATTTTTTCAGAATGATTTGAAAGTTTTGGATTTTGTCAAAACATTTGCCCAACTATTGGAATTTTTTTCTCGAAAGTGCGTAGGATTTCGAGGATATGTGTATTCACCAAAAATGATTGCAATTGACCCCCGCAACCGAAAATAATTTTTCCAGAACGATTCGAAACTTTTCAATTTAATTGTTAATAACTTTTCAACGAAGCCTCCATCAACAAATTGGTATTCTTGATTTTCGTCTTATTTTGGCCTCTGGAATCCCCCATTGAAATTTTTCCCAGGAGTAGCCTAACTAAAAATAATCGATAAAAGTTCGATTCAATTTCTTCTCGTTGCTAATAAAAATCATACAATTATTTGTAAATATTCTCTACGGACCCACAAACGATAAACGAAGTTTCTAAATGAAAACGAAGAATTTCTTTTAAAAAATGGAGGTCAAAGGAACTCGTGCGCTTTCACGTCCCGATGAATGGTTTCGCCCACTTAAATGATGTTTCACCGATGATAACACGCGCTGTTGGCCGAAGGTTACTATAATACTTACGGTGCATCGCGATGATTACGTATACGAATCGGACGTATGGTTATTCGCGGCAGAATCCACCGCCGGTATTCTGTTACGCGTTATATCACGCGATGCATGATCACCGCGTAAACAAATGAAACTGGAAACGTACCGTGACCATTATAATATCCTATCGTCGATCGTTTCTATCCACCAGGTGTAAGAATCACGCGCTATAAAACACAGATTGATAAATTGAACGATCCAAACGTGGCTAATTTCACTTTCCACCGCAACCAGTTAACTAAACTACGAAACAAATATTCACACGACAATTTATCGCTGTAATTAACGGGTGATTACGTTATTGCGTAACGAAATCGTGGCTACTGGTATGAAGTGCGACTACCACGGGTATTTCTAACATCGTGAAATGAAAATCGAGCGATGTATATGTATATTGGACGATTGCATAAGTGCTCGATTTAGAAATGAAGTTCGATCCATTAAATTTTATAGAATACAGTTTTATTAACCCTTTGCACTCCGAATTATATTTCAATCTCGTTACCAGCTGCTCCCAATGCTCTCAAGTGTTTTATTTGAAATCTACGTTAATTAAAAATTATCGTATATTGTCATTTTCAAGGGTATACTCAGCTACCCCCCATTTCCGGTTCTTACACTATTTACGGGACACCCTGTATATCTTTTTGGTTTGGACTTGAAAAAATGTCGAGTCACATTCAACATAGGAGTGCAGAGGGTTAATCACTCACGCCTTAGTAGCTCACTTATAGCTCACTCCTTACTAGCTAGCTAGTTTGCTCACTTCTTGCTAGCTAGCTACCTATCTAGCTAGCTAGGTCACTCCTTGGTAGGTAGCTACCTAGCTCACTCATTGCTAGCTAGCTAGCTACCTCACACCTTGCTAGCTAGCTAGCTAGCTCACTCCTTGATAGATAGCTAGCTACCTCACTTCTTGGTAGCTAACTAGTTAACACACTCCCAGCTAGCTACCTAGCTCACTCCTTACTAGCTAGCTAGTTTGCTCACTTCTTGCTAGCTAGCTAGATAGCTCACACCTTGCTAGCTAGCTAGCTAGCTCACTCCTTGATAGATAGCTAGCTACCTCACTTCTTGGTAGCTAACTAGTTAACACACTCCCAGCTAGCTACCTAGCTCACTCCTTACTAGCTAGCTAGTTTGCTCACTTCTTGCTAGCTAGCTAGATAGCTCACACCTTGCTAGCTAGCTAGCTAGCTCACTCCTTGATAGATAGCTAGCTACCTCACTTCTTGGTAGCTAACTAGTTAACAAACTCCCAGCTAGCTACCTAGCTCACTCCTTACTAGCTAGCTAGTTTGCTCACTTCTTGCTAGCTAGCTACCTATCTAGCTAGCTAGGTCACTCCTTGGTAGGTAGCTACCTAGCTCACTCATTGCTAGCTAGCTAGCTACCACACACCTTGATAGATAGCTAGCTACCTCACTTCTTGGTAGCTAACTAGTTAACACACTCCCAGCTAGCTACCTAGCTCACTCCTTACTAGCTAGCTAGTTTGCTCACTTCTTGCTAGCTAGCTAGATAGCTCACTCCCAGCTAGCTACCTAGCTCACTCCTTACTAACTAGCTAGTTTGCTCACTTCTTGCTAGCTAGCTAGATAGCTCACACCTTGCTAGCTAGCTAGCTAGCTCACTCCTTGATAGATAGCTAGCTACCTCACTTCTTGGTAGCTAACTAGTTAACACACTCCCAGCTAGCTACCTAGCTCACTCCTTACTAGCTAGCTAGTTTGCTCACTTCTTGCTAGCTAGCTAGATAGCTCACACCTTGCTAACTGGCTAGCTAGCTCACTCCTTGATAGATAGCTAGATGGTCGAATTATCTATGTCCATTCTTTCAGCAATCTCCTCGGTAGTTGTTGCGTCGCAGACCCTCGAGCGTCCCGTCGCGACGCAATACACCACTTAGGCTAGACCCAAGTGTTAGGGTAGGCCCAACCCAAGAATGAACATAGATAATTCGACCATCTAGCTATCTATGAAGGTGTGAGGTAACTAGCTAGCTAGCAAGGAGTGGGCTACCTAGCCAGCTACCAAGGTGTGAGCTAGCTAGCTACCAACCAAGGAGTGACCTAGCTAGCTAGTGACCTAGATAGGTAGCTAGGTTTTTCATTAATAATTCAAAAACGAAGCCCCATCCGACATTTTAGCAAAGGAAATTGTTGTTCAGAATCGTCTCAGCTACATTTCCGGTTCTTATACTGTTTACGGGACACCCTGTATATAACTACATAAAAACAATGGAGCTACGTTGTCGAGCGAAGATTGCAACGAGTATAAAAATCGGGCACTACTTATGCAATCATCCAATACATAACGATCGCTGAATAACTTCCATTAAGGGGGGATCGTCTTGCAACGACTCTAAAGGAAAATAAAACTGATACTTTCAAGTTGCAGACAAAATATTCTGTTGTGTGGATTTTTTTTATTTATTAACTATTAAAGTTAGATTGCAAAAAAATTGTTAGAAATTCTGAAATATATGACATTCGATTCTGATGAAAAATATTACTAAAGAAACTTCTTGTTTGTTAAATTTGCATCTTACAAAGAATTTATAGTTTCTTTCGATAGTTTATTCTATCATCAGAAAGAGATTAGAAATTAGGTATTTGAGGTGCTCGAAATTTTGACATATTTTTCACTAAAATACGCGTTAATTGCATTTCGAAACATTAAAATCCTTCAATCCGTTCAGAAGTTATGGCGTTTTAAAGATATGCTCGAAATTTTTGAGTGACATTTGTGGAGTGGAATGTTTTTCTCGAAAATGGTTAGAAATTCGAGGGTATGTCTATTGACCAAAAATGATTCTAATTGACCCCTCCAACCAAATATAATTTTTTTAGAACAATTTGAAATTTTTTAATTTTGTCAAAAAGTTTCACACCTTCTCGAATTTTTGTCTCGAAAATGGTTAGAAATTCGCGGGTATGTTTATTGACCAAAAATGATTCTAATCGACCCCCCCAACCAAAAATAATTTTTTTAGAACAATTTGCAATTTTTTAATTTTGTCAACAAATTTCACACCTTCTCGAATTTTTTTCTCGAAAGTGCGTAGGATTTCGGGGATATGTGTATTCACCAAAAATGATTATAATTGACCTCCACAACCGAATATAATTTTTCCAAAATGATTTGAAATTTTTTAATTTTGTCAAAAAATTTCAACCTTCCCGATTTTTTTTCTCGAAAGTGCGTAGGATTTCGGGAATATGTGTATTCACCAAAAATGATTGTAATTGACCCCAGCAATCGAAAATAATTTTGTCCAGAATGATTTGAGACTGTTCAATTTTGCTGAAAAATTTCAGCAGCCCCTGTCGAGTTTTCTTAAAAATTCGTTTTTCATTTTGAACACATTTGGTTGGCGTTGTACAGAAAAGTTATTTAATACTTTTTTGTAGGTATCCATGAACTCTAGTTCCCCCCCAAAATTTCAATGAAATATATTCGCTATTGTAGGAGTTACGGCTGTTTGAAAATTGGATGCTCGAGTTGGGTGGAACACCTTAAATATCTGAATCGACTATAATATTTTCGACCACCATTTTCCAGGGGATGTCCTCTGGTTTAATTAAAGCGAATTAAGTCTTGATCCTGAATGTGCATGGAAATACGCATTATATCATTCTGATAGCAGATTGCACGTGGAACGATGATCACGACAAGTGCAGTCGCATAATCACTGCAATCGTACGTTTCCTCTTAGAGTTATATACCAGCGTTCAATATCTGAAATGTTCTGGAATCTAGGAGGCAAAGTTTCACCATCGAATCGCAAACTTTCCAAATGCGGCCAAACTTTTTAGAATCACGAATAAAAAAAAAGAAGAACTGCAACGAAGTTGAGGATCTTAATTAGAGCGTGGATGTTTATACATTTATGGGAAATTTTAATTCTCAAAAAATAGCAAAATATATTTAACCTCTTCAGGGTCAAATTTGGTCTATTTATTATTGACAGTAAATTATAAAAAAAAAAAAAACTGAACGTCCACATATGTATGTGGCCAAAGGCTTGAAGTGGTTAATATCCAATAATATAAAAAATCCTTAAAATGTGATACGAATTATTATATTTGGGGGTCGAAACAACCCTCTACGAAGCTTCCATTTCTAATAAAAATATCAATTTGTATATGTATAGATCCACAGAATAGTCATAGTGCTTTGCATCGATTATGCTTTGAAACGGCTCAACAATTATGATAATGATCAATAGTGGTCACTGGTTCCTGGTAGTTGTCACGAGAGCAAAAATAGGATAAAACTATGATAGAAACAGTCCGTTGAACTTGTTTAATTTAGTCTTCTCAACTGATTTTTATGTTTCTACAGAAATTATTTATAATAGAGAAAAAAGAATCTGTGGATAGTGATTTCAGTTGCAAGAGGTTTAGAAGCTTTGTCTCGGGCGTTTTATTCCAATTTAAAGCTTTCAGAAGCTTTTTCCTCGGGCGTTTTATTCCAATTTCGACGCACTAATTCGAGAATAAATTCACGTATGTTTTGTTCCGTTGCTATCTTTATGACACGAACCGCCATATTTTGTTTTATCTGTATCTCACGTACTTGTCAAATGATTACTGAACCGGACACGAGGTGCATTTGTTGTCACTTTTGTAACATACTCTTGCATATATTCTTTAACAAAATTTTGCAAACTAAAAACTAGGTTTTATAATCCTTCTTTAACTTCTGTCTGCGCTTTATTCCTTGATCGATTATTCGTAGACCAAATATAACTATTTTCTAAAAGTCTATATAAAAATTAATCGTCAACAAAGTTTTTTACTTGAGTCGAAAAGTGTAATTGTAAAATTTGATACAAATTTCACTGAAAATATCTAAATTTCTAAATGTTTTTCTTATACAATAATCGTTAAACATTTCTTTTATTTTAAAATTTTAATGGGGGATTTTAGAGGCCAAAATAAGACGAAAATCAAGAATACCAATTTGTTGATGAAGGCTTCGTTAAAAAGTTATTAACAATTAAATTCAAACATTTCAAATCGTTCTGGAAAAAATATTTTCGGTTGCGGGGGTCAATTACAATCATTTTTGGTTATTACACATACCCCCAAAATCTTATCCATTTTCGAGAAAAAAATTCAGGAAGGTGGACAAATTTTTCGGCGAAAACAAACATTTCAAATCGTTCTGGAAAAATTATATTCGGTTGCGGGGGTCAATTACAATCACTTTTGGTGAATAGACATACCCCCAAAATCCTGCGCATTTTCGAGAAAAAAATTCGAGATGTGTGACATATTTTGACAAAATTAAAAAATTTCAAATTTTTCTAAAAAAATTATTATTAGTTGCAGGGGTCAATTACAATCATTTTTGGTGAATAGACATACCCCCAAAATCCTGCGCATTTTCGAGAAAAAAATTTAGTATGAGCGGAACTTTAAACGTTAATAACTTTTTAATGAAGCCTCCATCAACAAATTAATATTCTTGATTTTCGTCTTATTTTGGCCTCTAGAATCTCCCATTAAAATTTTGAATGAAATCGACGTTTGTAATTATTCCATTTATTAATCCATTTCTTGGCGTTTCTTATTTCTTGAAAAATATACCGAACAAAATTTGCAACAAGCTACAAATAATTGCTTGTAAATAAATTCGACCTTAAATTCTTTATCAATATATAACACTTCAAGGCTGTCATGCCTTTATCTATCCCCTAATATACGTTTTTAACTTATTATTGTTGTTTATATTCCGCTGCTCGTGACAACTGAAGAATACTCGTTTGACATACTTCAAAAATGTTAATTATTTCACAAAATATTTTAGAAACGCCTTGCTAATTATATTTAATCTAATTTTGTTTCATCGTACAACTTATTTAAATAAACTAAAATCTTCCCAAAATTAAACAACCCAACGAATATTTAATTTAAACATAATCGCATAATAAATTTAATAACATCATCGATGTTTCCACGAAACTACAAAGTTTCTGTAAAGAAAAAGAAAATTCAATATCCCTTTGTTCAAATCGAAAGATTTTCAAGATCGAATTTTCAAGATCGAAAAACCGAAAATGTTCTAACTTCGAATATCTTTTGTAAAACTATTCAGATATGAGTAGAAAATCCGTTACTTACAATTTCTGCGTCCATAATCCTGCCAACTAGAAATAGATCCGCGGCTCATGTGACCAGCTTCCGGTTTCTTCGGCCAAAGGAACACCGATTCGCGCTGTAACGGGCGACTACTAAATCGAAAAACGAAAACGAAAACGCCGAACGGAAGCGGAGGATTTGTCACCGTACGAGTTCGACTTTGAGTATTAAGTTGAATTTCCGATCGCTCCGTGTACTTCGTTCGTGCAAGTGCAGCGCAATTAGTTGTTCTACCTGTGATGCAATACGCGAACGCGGCCCGACGGTCAGAATGCAGTTCGCTACTCCCCACCTTTTTTAAATCGTTGCCTCCACTCTTTATGCATTTCCATTCGTCGACGCACAATCGTGCAAGTCTTCCGATTTTCCGGTATTCCCCTGCGGTTTCTTCATCGACGTCTGAGATGTTCTCAGCGATCGCTGAACGTCACTCGTAGCCTCAAAATGGCGGAAGTTAAATGACCTTAGAAACCCTGATTGCAACGAAAATCATTTGATTCAACGTACGAGGGTCGTTCGATGAGTCTTTAGAAAAAGATAGAAAAAGAAATTATTTTAGGTAGATTTCTTTTTATTTTTCAACATAATCTCCTTTTAGCTCTGTACGCTTTTCCAAACTTTTCTCCAACTTTTTTAAGTCATATGAAAATTATAATTTTTCCAGAACAATTTGAAATTTTTTTGTGAAACGAAAATTGACCACCTTACTGAATTTTTTTCTCGAAAGTGCGTAGGATTTCGGGGATATGTCTATTCTTAAAAAATGATTGTAACTGACCCCTGTAACTAAATATAATTTTTCCAGAACGATTTGAAATTTTTTTTTCGCCAAAAAATTTGACCATCTTCCTGAATTTTTTTCTCGAAAGTGAGTAGGATTTCGGGGGTATGTGTATTCACCAAGAATGATTGTAATTGACCCCTGCAACCAAAAATAATTTTTCCAGAACGATTTGAAATTTTTTTTTCGCCGAAAAATTCGGGCACCTTCCTCAATTTTTTTCTCGAAAATGGGTAGGAATTCGGGGGTATATTTATTGACCAAAAATGATTGTAATTGACCCCTGCAATTAAAAATAATTTTTTCGGAATGATTTGAAATTCTTTTTTTCGTCGCAAAATTTGACCACTTTCCTGAATTTTTTTCTCGAAAATGCGCCGGATTTCGGGGGTTTGTCTATTCACCAAGTATGATTGTAATTAACCCCGGAAACTAAATATAATTTTTTCAGTATGATTTCGCGAAGTCACGTATACGTGACAGCGGCCGTCAAAGTGTTAACGGTTAACATACAAAATGGTTCCCCCGTTTGTTGCGATCCACGTGCTGCGAATTATGACGCACATTCCGAACGACAACGAAATCAACCTAACGCGCGTAGCGCAATAAAAATAGATTAGAATAATCGTCGGAATCGTAGCACGGGATCGTCCAACGATGATTAAATGCAAAATTGAAAAATTGCTTCCGGGTTCCCCGGGCAAGTCGGAAGAAAAGGTGGCGAATGGTACGAGTGACCCAGTTGCCCCTTAAAACGAGCCAGAAACTCGTACACAAAACGCCCTATCAATTCCAATTGACGTCGAACCGGAAGTGGACGTTGATCCCGGGCCCGGATTGGTGGCTTTTCATTGATGAACCGACGTACACGGTGTCGAGAAATGTCTTGCCCCGGCTGGTCTTGATGAACTCTGGATCCTTGGATCGATGGGGTCCGTGTGGCGCCAGGAGTCAAGATACACGCGCGCCACTCGCGTCAAGTTCACGCGAACCACTTAGCGCGCCGCCATTATGTCAGACAAATGCCAAATTAGGTTAGAAATTAGGGGATAAGAACAAATAAAAATGCATGACAAACTCAATTAATTACTTTGTTATAGACATTTTTCATTTCATCAAAATGAAAAGATTTAAACCTTCAAGTATAGTATTGTACTTAAATTAGTTCAGAAATAGAACGTGTAATAAACATTTAATAATTTTCGTGAACAGAACGTGATTAGAATTGCTTCTTATTCTAATTATTTGCAGAGAAAGATAGCTAGCTAGCTCACTCCTTGTTCACTCCTATTATCATCTTATTATTATTATTATTATATTAAGACTCTTTAAAAATAATTTTAAAATAATACTGTGCCCACTACAATATACATACATACGACCTTACCCATTATTCTCTGAGCACCAACTTCTATTTTATGAGTCATTCGAGTTACTCCTTTCGATAAGAGTTATTGCGTACCCAGAGTTTTCTAGCACTTTTGTGTACGAAACGATAAAGACAAACTATTCCACTGTATATTTAGCTGACATTAACTAGGTGCACAGACATTGCATTTGTCATGCTTATACATCAGACACGTACGAGTTGTTTCTCGATTCTAATAACTAGCCATTACCGATTTCAAAATTATTTTTTTTTTATTATCAAATAATTATTTTTTCATACGTTAAGACTATTTCATATGAATTTTATTGCGATTAATTTCAAGCCATTATTATTTTAGCGATTCTCAGAAAAATGGATTGAAATTACTTATAGCATACTACGAGATTCTACAACCTAAATTGTTGTTCATAATTAGTAAAATGAGATCAGTTTCATTCAATTATTTTGACTAAATGTGATTTCCATAGAATTTTACTTGACAATTTTCTTATTTCATAGAATTTTTGTACTTCAGCTAGGTACATCGACATCTCAATTTTTATTAGCTTTACAAAGCTATTTTTTTACAAATTTCTTTTTCTTCAGAAAACGAATCTTCTTTCTTTGGACCTTCTTTCTTCCTTTCATTTGCGTAGAATAAAAATGTGTTTTGTTTGTCAGCATATTTTTGCTTTTCTGTTAGCTCTGAAATGTTGCACAGCAGTTCTCCGTGCAAGTGCATGTTTATCGACACGGTTCGAAACGGGGATTCACCGAATCCGTCCGTGGCATCTCAATTTCCATTGATGCTTTCGGGATTGGCCATTGACGCTGGGCATCAGAGTCGTTACTGGCGGATGCCGTCGCGATTATGTCCTTTTGTGACGTCTGTCCGACGGAATTGGATAATGGTCCGTGCACAGATTACGCCGGCTAAGTGGATCTAAACCTCCCCCGTCACGTGGTCGTTCACGTTTCCTGTGCCCCCTGTCACACTTTTCGCATCTTTTTCCCTTCTTTCTGTGATCGTTAGCCTGATTCAGACGGTAAGAGGAGGAAGCCGGAGGACAGTTGACCAGCGACAGCGTGCGTACGCGGTCCTTTCGCCTTCCAAGGAGGAAATATTTCGTATTTGGTGCACGGTATCAAGGTCAAGCAACGCTGATAACACGGTTCTAAGTAGCCCCAGGCGATGATAATTCGGAATACTTAGAATCCCTACGACCAGATCGTTTCCTACCGTACGCAAGTACGGACGTATTCAGGTTCGCGAAAAAGTACGTAGCCCCGGTAACTACTCGATATTACGATCGAACAATAGTTGTGCGGTTGATTTGTTTACTGTCGAATTAACGCCAGTGATTTTTGGCCAAACTTTCCTCCGTTTCCATACGCAAACGAAAATATACTAAATTCTAGACGACACAGTTTCGAATTTTTATAATAGCTTCTGAATCGAGACACTCGATACGAATTTTAATTGCATCGACTTGTTTGCAACGATCCTAACGAATAATCGATTCGACTTGCTCTGCAGGAATACAATGAAGTGGGTAACAGCAATTGCTGGGCTTTTCCTTATTCTGGTCCTGCCACAGAACGCCTTTCTGCCCTGTGTCGAAGGCTTCCCTCGCGTAAGTCACTACCTCCTATACTGATCTTAACGCATTTTCACCTGAATCACCTAAATGTTTCCCTCATTAAATGGACAAAAAAATTTTTCATTGAATATTACCAAAAAAAGAAGATTCACTTTTCGAAGTAAAAGACATTTTTAGAACACAGATTTACTATTTGAGGTTTAACCAGAGAAAGGATTTTATCTTATTTCATCTTCATGAAATTTTTTTTTAATAAAACATCTCTTTATTTACGTTCTTATTAAGCATGAAAAACAAATTCAACGATCTTCTAAACCATAGAATGGTGCAACTTTATCTTGAAAAACTGTTTATGCAACGATTAATAAAGGAGATATTAACGTATTTAATTGGACCACCCTTGTATCCAGTGAACAGTGTTATACTGTTTCAATCGTGAAAAAAATTATATAGGGTGTTCAACCAACCCTGGGAAAAATTTTAATGGGGGATACTAGAGGCCAAAATAAGACGAAAATCAAGAATACCAATTTGTTAATGGAGGCTTCGTGAAAAAGTTATTAACGTTTAAAGTTTCGCTTTTATTGGATTTTTTTTCTCGAAAATGCGCAGAATTTCGGGGTTGTGTCTATTCACCAAAAATGATTGTAATTGACTCCCGCAACCGACAATAATTTTTCCAAAACGATTTGAAATTTTTTTTTTCGCCGAAAAATTTGACCACAATCCTGAATTTTTTTCTCGAAAGTGGGTAGGATTTCGGGGGTATGTGTAATGACCAAAAATGATTGTAATTGACCTCTGTAACTAAATATAATTTTTCCAGAACGATTTGAAATTTTTTTTTTCATCGAAAAATTTCACACCTTCTCGAATTTTTTTCTCGAATGTGAGTAGGATTTCGGGGGTACGTGTAATGACTAAAAATGATTGTAATTGACCCCTGTAACTAAATATAATTTTTTTAGTATGATTTTAAATATTTCAATTTCGTCCAAACATTTCACACCTTGTCGAATTTTTTTCTAGAAAGTTAGTAGGATTTTGGGGGTATGTATAATGACCAAAAGTGATTGTAATTGACCCCTGTAACTAAATATAATTTTTCCAAAACGATTTGAAATTTTTTTTTTCCGCCGAAAAATTTGACACATTCTCGAATTTTTTTCTCGAAAGTGGGTAGGATTTCGGGGGTATGTGTAACAACCAAACGTGATTGTAATTGACCCCTGTAATCGAAAATAATTTTTCCAGAACGATTTGGAAATTTTTTTTTCCGTTCAAAAATTTCACACATTCTGGAATTTTTTTCTGAATAGTGAGTAGGATTTCGAGGGTATGTCTAATGACCAAAAATGATTGTAATTGACCCCTGTAACTAAATATAATTTTTTTAGTATGATTTGAAATTTTTTTTTGCGTCGAAAAATGTCAGTACCTTCTGGAATTTTTTTCTAGAAAGTGGGTAGGATTTCAGGGGTATTTGTAATGACCAAAAATGATTGTAATTGACCCCTGAAGCCAAATATAATTTTTTTAGCATGATTTTAAATATTTTAATTTCGTCTAAAAATTTCAGTATCTTCTCGAATTTTTTTCTCAAAAGTGGATAGGATTTTGAGAGTATGTGTAATGACGAAAAATGATTGTAATTGACCCCTGTAATCAAATATAATTTTTTTAGCATGATTTTAAATATTTTAATTTCGTCTAAAAATTTCACACCTTCTTCAATTTTTTTCTAGAAATTGAGTAGGATTTTGGGGGTATGTCTATTCACCAAAAGTGATTGTAATTGACCCCCGCAACCGAAAATAATTATTCCAGAAGGATTTGATATTTTTTAATTTAATTGTTAATAACTTTTTAACGAGGCCTCAGTCAAGAAACTGATATTCTTTATTTTTGTCTTATTTTGGCCTCTAGAATCTCCCATTATAATTCTTTCCATTTTTACGTGTTTAATTGGAGCAACTTTGTATCCAGTGAACGAAATTTCTATAAAAATCCTAGTATTTTGAAAAAATGTGGCAAAAATTTCGATAATAGTATTAAAAGAACGATAAGAAATAATTAAGCCATAATTGAATGCAAAAACCCAATATACAGAATTTTAAAAAGCTACTTTACTTCTATTATAAACAAAATATTTTAACGCACAAACAAAATATATCTAAAATCCGCCTTTTAAACTTGTTTCTGAAAATATTCTGTTTTTTTTATAATATAACTTAACTTTTACAACATTGACAAACATCGTAGGTAATTGTAAATGCTCAATTTACTTTTCTCGAAACAATTCTACCCTTTTTGAGCCACCTTCCCCATTTTTCTCCATATTAGAACTTTTTTTATTAAAAGAGACAACAAAATCTGTATAAATAACTTCGAACGCATTAAGTAAATTTAAAAAAAACGAATTCTTCATAAACACCAATAAACAGCGTCAAAATACCTTCATTATTCCCAGTAAAATAATTGTAACATTTGTTGAAGCAATGCACAGAAGAAGAAGACTCTGACACAAGGATAGTTCATCAGAATTGGAGAAGGGAACGAAGTTAATTCGCATATCGTTCACGTTCATTGATTCAACCCTCGAAAGGGGAAAATAATTTCGCGAATGTGCGCGTCGTGTTTGTTTTGCAGACGCAATGGAAACGAAGTATAGACCTGAATGACCTATACCCGTTCAAAGTGCGTCAATTCAAATTGCCGAAGAAGGTTGTTCCAACCAACTATGACCTGGAGCTTCAACCTTTCGTTGGCGAGGACAAGTACATTGGCCGTGTCAAGGTGAACATCACATGGACCCACACCACCAACCAAATTACCCTGAACGCCCATCCGGATCTTCAGATCACAAAGTACAATGTCAAAATCATGGAAATGTCGCTGGAAGAAAAGTAAGTCCAAGAGATCCCAAAAACTGAATCGAATTTTCCATAACAAATCTCTTTCATAGAAACCTAATGCATCAACTATAATCGAAATAAACGATGAAGATACAAATTTCACGAGATAAATGTGCATCGAGACTGGAGACTTTTTTAATTAATTTGAAACAGTTTAATAACAGTTTAATATTGAATTTTTCTGCTGAATGATCGTGATGTTTCTGTTATTGTTGCCAAAAAGGAAGATGGGCTTGCCTCTGATGGACGTGTACGTCGCGTGGGTGGAGCCTCCCACGCAGAAGAAACCTCTGTACGTGATCCACCTCGAGCAAATGCTGAAGGAGGGCACTGTCTGCGAAGTGGACCTTAATTTCACCGGTAATCTAACCACCGAGGAGACCAACGGTTTCTTCAAACGCGAATACACCAACTATGATGGCGAGAAACAGTAAATACAATCAGATTACGATAAGATTGTATATTTACTTATTTGATCCATGTCATCCCGTAAGTTCGTACCGTTCATCCTCGGGGATAGAATTTTTGTTGGTTCACAGGGTATCTCTGATACTTTTAACCCGCTGGAGCACACATCTGCAGACCACTGAGGTCTTGGGGACTTTGGCTTTCTCCAAATGTTTATAAAAAAGGCAACATTCTCGCTCATTCTTGCATGGTGCACCTGGACAGTGGACAGCAGGGTGGGTGGGAATGATGCAAAAGGCAGGAAACACCCTGCCTGGTAGGTGACGATTTTGAGGGTTGGCTTGACCAATTAGCGCTGCTAACTTAGGGATTAGCGCTGTTAAATTAGGGATTAGCGCTGTGAGTTTTCGTCACCTTGGTAGGGGAGGTCGAGCTTAGGTTAACCACTTGCCTTAGGATTTAATTTCCTTGCCCCAATAGCGATTGACGCGGAGGAGCATATATCTGCAGACCACTGAGATCTTGGGGGCTTTGACTTTCTCCAAATGTTCATAAAAAAGGCAACATTCTCGCTCATTCTTGCATGGTGCACCTGGACACTAAGCAGCAAGGTGAGCGAGAATGTTGCAAAAGGCAGGAAACACCCTACCTAGTAGGTGACGACTTAGAGGATTGGCTTGACCAATTAGCGCTGCTAAATTAGGGATTAGTGGTATGAGTTTTCGTCACCTTGGTAGGGGAGGCTGAGCTTAGGTTACCCCCTTGCCTTAGGATTTAATTTCCTTGCCCCAATGGCGATTGACCTGGGAGCACATATCTGCAGACCACTGAGGTCTTTGGGGGCTTTGGTTTTCCCCAAATGTTTATAAAAAAGGCGACATTCTCGCTCACTGTTGCATGGTATACCTGGACAGTGGACAGCAGGGTGGGTGGGAATGTTGCAAAAGGCAGGAAACACCCTAGCAAGGTGACGACTTTGAGAGTTGGCTTGACCAATTAGCGCTGCTAAATTAGGGATTAGCGCTGTGAGTTTTCGTCACCTTGGTAGGGGAAGTTGAGCTTAGGTTAACCCCTTGCCTTACGATTAGGCAAGGTGACGACTTTGAGGATTGGTCAAGCCAACGTCACCTTGGTTGGGGAAGCTGAGCTTAGATTAACCCCTTGCCTTACGATTTAATTGCCAACTGTGGATGCCAAAAGCGACAATCAAGGTTTGGCCTGATAGACTCATCATGTCTCTGAGACGTCTTATTCTTGTTTGGCCCAGTAGACTTATTGCGTCTCTGAGACGTCATTGTAAGCTAAGGGGGTTAAAATAACAAATTTCTATTGAATTCAGACCAACTAATGAAGCTACTAATCACGTTTCTGAGACGTCATTGCAAGCTAAGAGGGTTCAAATAACAGATTTTCTACTAAATTTTGGGGTGGATATGTTAATTGCAACGACATCCCACATTAGACCCACAATAAGATTATGAAAAACAGTAGATCATTGTGTCACTGAAAATTCTACATATTTTTGTTTCTTCTTCAGCTCCGTGGTGGCTTTGAATCTCAGGTTGGATCATGCTCAAAGAGTGTTTCCATGCATGGACGAACCTTCTTACAAGGCTACCTTCAAACTCAGCGTTTTGCGACCAAAGAACATGACGGCCCTCTCGAATACACCTATTGAAAACAGCACTGAAGCGTAAGTGTACTAGACCTAGTTAAGGAGGTCTATAACAGCCAAAAAATTTGATTTTTTTTCCATTTTGTTAAAGGATACAGTCTTGGGAATATATGTAAAAAAGCACACATGTCCTACATGTCACAGATGTCCTAAAATTGAGGAAGATATACTATTTAAACGGTCTGATCCCTCTGTTCAAATGCGTTTTTCTCAAAACTATCTTCTCTGAATTGGCTTCCATGATATCTCAAGATCTACTTGACCAATTTCATTCAAATTTGATGTGTACCTTCAGTATATGTATCTCTATAGCTTGTATTATAATGAAGTAAAAATCACTATTCTTTCCAATTTGTATTAACCTGCTAAGTAGCAATAGTGTAGTAATTACAGTTACCTAAGCAAAAAATAAAATTTGAATTAGTCAAACATTTGCTAGATTTCTTTTGTATCATGTGATAGCTCAAAGTGTCTAGTTTGCACTAGCATAACCATGGGACTGTAAATTGACGTTGTGAGAAAATTAAACCCTTAAAATCAAAGAGTCTTCCAGCTATAATTTTGTACGAAAGAGGTAAAAGAAAGTTGTTAGATTAATGGAGAATCTGATTAGTTTTTATTTAACACAGTCTTTGAACTTCTAGAATTGAAGAGAAAGTATTAGTTTACAGAAAAGAAGGGGCATTTTGAAGAAGAACGTTATATTCTAACAGCATTAGATTTCATAAAATAAAAACGAAATCCCAAAATGGAAATCTTGTTTCTGCTTTTTTACAAAATAACATTCTCTTTTTGTAAATATTGCACAGAGCTGGGGAGCCAGACCTAATCTGGGATCATTTCGAAAAGACACCGAAGATGTCAACCTACCAGGTGGCGCTGTTTGTGTCGAACTTCGAGAGCATTTCTCCCACAATGGAGATAAACGAAATGGACGGGAGGAAGCTCGAGGTCAAGGTTTGGGGCCAGAAAGGGAACTTGGAGTCCTTGAAGGATGTGCCTAACAAGGTTGTCAAGATTATGAATTATTTGCAAGACTACTTCAACAGCTCCATCATTTTACCGAAACTCGACTTGGTGGCTGTTCCATCCTACTGCTCTGCCACTTCTGATAGTTGGGGACTTATGCTCTTTGAGTATGTACATTCTCACACTTTTCTGTACACTGTTTCTGAGTAGTTATTTTGAATATAAGAGTATCAAAAGACACCTTAGCATTTGAATACAAATAATTGCTAAAGAAAAAGATATTTTCTTCTCAAAGTTTCTTATTGCTAAAAATACTTCTTTTTATTCTAGAACAAACATTACTAGATTGTTTGGAGCAATACCTTCTCTGTATATTGCACTTTGTAACGAATATATTTAACTTGTATTTATGTAATATTTCCAATCATTTTAACCTTGAAAATCTCAGTAACTCGATTACAACAATTGTATAATAAAAAATAAGGAATTCTAAGAAATCGTGAAAAAAATGTTTAAATTTAGAATGCTTACTCTATTGAACGCGAACTTAATGTTACAACAAAATGGCGGAGTTCGACTCTGATTGCAGGGAAAGTGAGCTGAGCAGACCTTCTCTGTGGAACACAGCCTACGAATTGATTTATCAGTGGATCGGTCAATACATCACGCCATTCAGCTGGAGCGATGCTCCAATGAACAAGGCGCTCAACTCATTCTTAGCTTCGATGACCACGGTGGATGTACGTGTCGTGACTTATGCCAAAAATGATTTTGAAAAAATCTCTAGAATATCGATGAACTTGTTTCAGATCAATCCGGACGAAATGGAGGGAAAGTGGCCAATGACGATGTTGTATTCTCTTTATTACGAGTTTGGGAAGACCATCCCCTTCTCGAGAGTAGCGGGAATCAGGCTCGAAGCCACATCTGCAAAAAGTAAGTTACGATTAAATTAATAGTAATGGTCGAGTTCATGGATTAATGAGAGATTATAGAAGACAAAACGAGACGAAAATGAAGGATACTAACTTGTTGATTGAGGCTTTGTTAAAAAGTTATAGAAACATTTTCGGTCACACGGTATATTTTCGGTACAGAATTTTTTTCTCGAAAGTGGGTAGGATTTCGGGGGTATGTGTAATGACCAAAAATGATTGTAATTGACTCCTGAAACTGAAAATAATTTTTTTAGAATGTTTCGAAATTTTTTTTTTCGTCGAAAAATTTCACACCTTCTCGATTTTTTTTCTAGAAAGTGGGTAGGATTTCGAGGGTATGTCTATTGACCAAAAATGATTGTAATTGACCCCCGCAACGGAAAATAATTTTTCCAAAACGATTTGAAATTTTTTTTCCCGTCGAAAAATTTCACACCTTTTCGAATTTTTTTCGAGAAAGTGAATAGGAATTCGGGGGTATATGTAATGACGAAAAATGATTATAATTGACCCCTGTAACTAAATATAATTTTTCCAGAACGATTAAAAATTTTTTAATTTTGTCGAAAAATGTCACACCTTCTCGAATTTTTTTCTCGAAAATGAGTAGAATTTCGAGGGTATGTCTATTCACCAAAAATGATTGTAATTGACCCCTGTAACTAAATATAATTTTTCCAGAATGATTTGAAATTTTTTAATTTAATTGTTAATAACTTTTTAACGAAGCTTCAATCAAGAAATTGATATTCTTGATTTTCGTCTTATTTTGCCCTTATTTTAAAATTTTTTCCCAAGAATGGCCGAACACCCTGTATACATATAATCTAGTTAAAAGAAAAGTTGATTTTTAACCTTTAATTGGTATGTTGAGATATTTTGACATTTCAGAGATTACATTCATTTATTCATAAATAATATTGCGAGGAAATTAATGTTTTGTGTGATCATGCTCACAAAATAAAAACAAATGATTGTCAATTAAGACAAATACTGTCTATGATAGCATGACCTTTGAATGACCTTGACTAGCAATACTTTAGTGTTCTCATTTTAACGATGGCAATTTTACCTTGTATATCATGCATATTCTCAGCAGTTTAAATTAATTTAAAAATCACTGTAACTAGAAAAAATACTGCACGTGTCTGATTATATCATATTTGTCTCGTTGCAGCGGAATTGATATTCCGGATGTTCAATTACACCCTCGGCAAGGACCTGTTCCAACAAAGCGTCAGAAATTTCATTCAACAGGAATCGGAAGAGTAGTAATTGCATTCGTTAGTTAGCCGGGAAGCAAACGTAAAATAAAATCTCCATAACTGAAAATAACCTCCAAATTTGAAAACTGTCCAAAACAATGAGAAAGAAATCACGAAAGCTTCAACATTTTCTATATTTAATAGAAATCGTTCACAATACAGACATTTACATATTATTTTATCTTTCAACTTTCGTGTATTTTAAAATTGTATACAAAATTTCTGTGAAAGAGTGGAAGGTGGGGGGTAATAGAAATTCATAAGCAGAGTTGGCTAAATTATTTAATAATAAAAAAAAATAATCCTGAAATCAAAATTTCAATTAGTTTTTAGCTATCCAATTAAAATTTCGATTTCAAAATTATTTTTTTCTATTCGTGAACAACGAATACAAATTTTAACAAATACACTCTTTGTACAGTTTCGTGATTCATGGACAAAGTATTTTACAAATACATTCCAAACATTTCTCACATTTTTTACTATTCTTAGTATCATTGTATGATACTGGAAACAGATTTTAAAAGACTGATTCCTTCAGGAAATTCGATGTTCAACGTTTCCTGCAGATGACACTTAGTCATCAGCATTTTTAGACTCCAAGTTTCGAATGAATTTACACATATTACATCGAAAGAATTTCGTCGAAATCAGTCTTTTTTCTTTAAGGTCCTTGAAAAATATTGCTTCCCGGCTATTCACGTATTGGTGATCGATCCCGATCCGATCTTGTGTACCTGTTGAATGCATCGTTTCAGAAAAGTGAGGACATTCTACACCGACGACATCTACAGCCGACTGAACGACGTCGCGAACGAAACGGACAATCTTCCGGCTGGCTTGACGATCAACAGCATCGCGGGGCCGTGGATCCATCGAGATAGAGTGCCATTGGTCACGGCCATTCGCGATTATGAAACTAAGACGATTACACTTAGCCAGGTACGAGGCACCAGCGCTCGTAACGTTATCGAACAAAAGCGCTATTTCCTTCAGAGACGCGAAAACCGGAACAATAATCCAGCGATTTTCACACGGATTGTGTTTCCAAACGCGCCGTACAATGCAATGCACAGTCTCGTGTTCTGTGGATCAACGGTTTACGAACGTTTACCACGGAAATTTCTTCAAAATTAACTTATTGTTTGCATCAACACTAGAACTACCAAAACAGTCAAAGTAACCTATTCGTAATTTCTAACAAGACTTGTAAAAAATTTATTCGACTGAATTTTTGAAAGTTTCGATGGCAGGAGTCGAGGTCGAGTGGGATATAATGACACAAAACGTTAAATGGCACATTAATTTTATAACTGTTTGTACATGGAGGAATTCAGCGTAGTGTTCCGCTCCCCCTGTGACAAGAAACGTACTGAAAGTAGTGGGGGGAGACCGGACACGGCTGCCAACTGCTACACACGCGTCTCACGGCGGTAACAAGTTTGCTGTAATTTTCTATAAGAGAATGAATATACATTTATTTCCATTGCATCGTATATTTTTTCGTGTATCTATCGTTTTAATTTCTTTGGTGCAAATAAATTCAGTATAATTGTTGGTAGTTCTAGTGTTAACCAGACCAGGGCAAAAAAAAAAAAAAATGGAGGAACAACTGAGGATCTAATTACTGCTGTTAGATTATTTTTAATTATTAGTCGCAATTTATGACTAATACAATAATTGATTATCAGATTATTTATTGAATAGAATGTAACCGTTAATTGAGGTTAAAAATTAATAGGAATTACAGATTACAAATAAACTTAACATCTTTCTGAGTTGTTCGAAAATAAAATTTGCTCGACTCTGGCGTCGACTGATTTAATTTTTTAGTTTATTTCCGTTGTGTCACTCATAATAAGAATTCGTGTAAATTGCACACGCTTATTGTCGTCCAAAGACAGAAAAAGATCTTTTTCAATGAAACTCAAGTATGCGAGCGTGAATTAAACCGGACGGATGCGCAATTTATCGTACGAGCGTGATAATACAATGAAAAGGCTCCTTGAAAGGAGAAAAAATGCTGACCTAACTTTAGAAAAGCCATTAAAGTCATTTTTAATGCGGCACGCCGTGATTGAAATAAAAAATTCGCGATAACCTTGATTGCGAATTGTATTTGCATATTAAATCTTTCACGATTACTTTAACGAGAGCCACGATCCCTGAAATTCTATAACAATTTTAATAACAATCTATTAGACATTCTCTATGATCATCCATCGTGAAATATTTCTTATCAATTTTATAATTAGTCATATAACATGTTGTACGTACGGTGATTAGTTTCTTTTTTTAATAGAACCGTATGTTTGTATTGCATAACTAACAAGCTGAAGTTTAACACTATATTTTACTTTTTAAATTGAATTTAATAAAATATCATTTTCTTGGTAATTTGCTTAACTATTTAGATATTTTAGTATCTTGGGTTTTTCCTGTAAAAAAAAATATGTGTATTATCTTTTGAGAGTTAATAATATTTTACTGTAATCGTGACAGTAAATATTTGTTATAAAAATATACAGGGTGTTCGGTCAACCCTGGGAAAAATTTTAATGGGAGATTCTAGAGACCAAAATAAAACGAAAATGAAGAATACCAATTTCTTCACTGTGGCTTCGTTAAAAACTTATTAACGTTTAAAGATGCGCCAGTAGAACGGGAAGTTGCGTGCGCGCGACACTGGAACTTTAAACGTTAATAACTTTTTAACGGAGCTTCGATCAACAAATTGGTATTCTTGATTTTCGTCTTATTTTGGACTCTAGAATCTCCCGTCAAAATTTTTCCCAGAAATAACTGAACACTCTATATTGTTTATATAAGTGTTTTTAATTGTTGCTAACGGAATTAACAATCAAATTGATCATCTAGAGAAAATTTAGGTACAATGAAGATACCAAATTGAAACCATGTTTGAGAGTGTATTGTACCCCCCCTGGCCCCTCTTTATCACAGCCCTGAATATATTACACAATTTCTAATTAGATGTGTAATTGCCCGCCAATTACCGCCGTGAGAAATAAATTTTTTCCTCGGCAAGGTCTCGCTAATAGAAGACTATAAAATAATTCATGCAACCATTGTGTTATTTACATTGTTAATGAACACATTTGCAGAAAGTCTACCTCAGGAAAGCGCCGCCAGCCTCCACTGCTAAAGTTTCCTATCGGTGGGACATACCAATTGTGATGATGTCGCAGGACAAATTGGAATTCCACAAGCCGTGCCCCTTATGGTTGACGAAAGAAAACGAACCTAAAAATTTCACTGTTCCAGACATCACGGACGAAAATAATTTTATTATCGTAAATCCTGAAGAAATAGGTATGACATGAGGACACACTCGAGAAAACTTAAAGTGAAACTTTTCCTTCGAAGAAGTTATCAAATATGTATATCTTTCTAACCTGCAAATAAAAAATAGAAACGTTGGAGAATCAACTACAAATCAAATTTCTGAATATTGTTATTCAGTGTTTAATGATTCGACAGGAATATTCCCGGTGAATTACGACTCCTGCAATTGGAAGATGCTGTCGCAATTTCTGCAAGGCCCCAATCGCGAAAATATTCCCGTTCTGACCAGAGCAAAGCTGCTTCACGACTCATGGAATTTAGCATACGCCGGGGAACTATGCTTCGGGATCGCATTGAACATGACACTCTTCATGAAACAGGAAAGGAGCCACGTGGTTTGGGAGCCCATGTTCATGATGATCGATCATATTGGAAGACGCATCGAAGGATCCGAAGTCTACCCTAAATTTGAGGTATAGTTAACCTCTAACACTTCGACTGCCACGCCGCCATCACATGTTTTGCTCAGAACGCCACGGACGTGCACCGCCAGATGCAAAATTTTACAGAAATTAACCTTTATTTTCGATGTTTACAATTAAATTCAAAAATGTCAAATGGTTCTGGAAAAATTATATTCGGTTGCGGGGGTCAATTACAATCATTTTTGGTCATTACACATAACCCCGAATTCCTACGCACTTTCGAGAAAAAAATTCGAATAGGTGGACAAACCTTTCGACAAAATTAAAAAATTGCAAATCAATTTGGAAAAATTATATTCGGTTGCGGGGGTCAATTCCAATCATTTTTGGCCATTACACATACCCCGAATTCCTACACACTTTCTAGAAAAAAATTCGAGAAGGTACTGAAATTTTTAGACGAAATTGAAATATTTAAAATCATGCTAAAAAAATTATATTTAGTTACAGGGGTCAATTACAATCATTTTTGGTCATTACACATACCCCCGAAATCCTACGCACTTTCGAGAAAAAAATTCGTGTAGGTGGACAAATCTTTCGACAAAATTAAAAAATTGCAAATCATTTTGGAAAAATTATTTTCGGTTGCGGGGGTCAATTACAATCATTTTTGGTGAATAGACATACCCCCGAATTCTTGCGCATTTTCGAAAAAAAAATTCAGAACGGACGGAATTTTCAACGTTAATAATTTTTTAACGATGCCTCCATCAACAAATTGGTATTCTTGATTTTCGTCTTATTTTGGTCTCTAGAATCTCCCATTAAAATTTTTCCCAAGTGTAGCCGAACACCCTATACAAGAAATGTATAACAAGAAATTTTGATTCCTGGAACTTTAATTTCAATTTTCCTCGATTATGATGAACAATTAATAAGAACCCTGCTATTTACGTAAAGTAATTAGTGTAATTAACTGCTTCAGGCTTACATTCGTAATTTACTGGAGCCTCTATGCGCGGAACTTGAAGAGTCCATACAACCCAAGGAGCCATCTTGGAAAACTCACATGCGCGGACTGGCCAAAAATTTCCTCTGTCGTGCTGGTTACGAACCATGCGTTAACGAAGCAAGAAACCGTTACAAGAAATGGCTAACCTACGAGTATCCGGATAAAGGAAATCCGTTCGTATTGTTCTTACCAATTTGTTACATTTATTTTAAAACAGTGAACTTTGCAAATTGAACAAATCAATATCTACTTTGATTTCTCATGTTTTCTTCTTTATAGATATATTAATAATCTTAAATTCTTTTTACAATACGTCTATCAAAATTTGTAATAAAAACCAAAGAAAATATACCGGGTATTTCGAGACAATGGGACAACTTGGAACATACAAACTACTCTTTTTAATATTTCGTTTGAACAAGTATAATAACAAGAATAGCGATACTGTACATCATAATAGCAACCTAATTTACAATATTATATTTAATATAAACGGAGCAATAACATAGAAAAATATATTTTACCATTATTTATAAATTGAAAGTCCTATGGCATTTTTTTAGAAAATCCAACACTCTAAATAACAGTATTATGAAAAAATACATGTAAAAAAATGATACGTAGACTCTAGCCCGATTTTGCCATAAAAATTGCTACAATATTAAAATATGATATAGCTTAAATGATAATGTCGATTCCTAAATTAGTTTCAAGATAAACGTCTATACTTTTAACGTGGAAATCATCGTTTTACTGGTATTTAAATTCGTTAACTATTTTAAGAGCGTAAACCAAAGTCTAATTCTAACAATAACAGAGTAAAACAAAGATTTTAACGTTGCAGAGTGGCGAATGAAGTCCTTTGCCCTGTCTTCAAATGGGGCACCGACACAGAATGGGAGTTTGGACTTCAGCGTGTGATAAACTTCCCCCAGAACAGCCCGGAAAGAAAACAAAATGAGCGCACCTATCTCTTGAAATCCCTAGCCGGTTGTCCCCAGGATCCAAATAAAATCGAAAGGTAATTCATTTATTCAATTTTTCCGTGGGACTGCAATCTGCGAACAGTTGCGTGGCCGTGATAGGTCGCAACAGATCGGTACCAGTGGTTCTCACTCACCACGAGAGCCGTACAGTTTTATGAATGAGAACCACTAGGACCAACCTGACTCCTTTAACTTTTAAACGAAGCCTCCGTCAAGAAATTGTTATTCTTGATTTTCGTCTTATTTTGGCCTCTAGAATCTCCCATTAAATTTTTGATACATAGATCTATACAGGGTGTTCACCCCTGGGAAAAATTTTAATGGGGGATTCTAGAGGCCAAAATAAGGCGAAAATAAAGAATACCAATTTGTTCATCGAAGCTTCGTTAAAAAGTTATCAACGTTTAAAGGTCGGCCTGTAGAACGGCAATTTGCCTGCGCGCCATAATGGAACTTTAAACGTTAATAACTTTTCAACGAAGCCTCGATCAACAAATCGGTATTCTTGATTTTTGTCTTATTTTGGTCTCTAGAATCTCCCATTAAAATTTTTCCCAAGGTTGATCGAACATCATGTATAATTGTTAATTTTTTTTTTTATAACATTGCAGATTGTTGAATGTGACAATACTGGATCAGAACGAGAACTTCACGGACTCCGACATCCATTTGATCTTCACTATGCTGACTGGAGGAACGGCGGGTTACACGACTCTCTTTAATTTCTTGAACGACCACTGGGACACCGTGAAACAGAGATTCGAGACAAAGAGAGCACTATGGGACGGGATAATAAATTCGGCGACGTCCTCGTTCAACACGCAGGAAGGTTTGGACATGGTTTCTGAATTGTACACAAATCGCCGGGGTGAATTCGACACGGCCGATCGTATCATCCAAGAGGCATTGAAAATCATTAAACAGGAGACAGAATGGAGTGAAAAGAATCTTCAGGTGATCGATAATTGGCTCACTGAAAATTTACCGAAGGAAGAACTAGACGCTATTCAAACTTGGAAAGCCACGACGTCTATGTGAACGACAGTCGACGTAGAACGTCCACCGTGGAATGAGAAACGTTTTAAATTGTAATTGGGGAATGACTAAAAGTATGAACAACGTAGGTACACGACACAGTTTATAAATTTCCGAGGCGCTTTTTAAATTCTACACAGATTTTTCGATGCTTCTGTTTTCGATACGTGGATAATTTTCTGGTCGATGTCAAAATCAGATTTAATATTAGGGATACAAATAGATCTATCGGAGAAAGGTGCTCGGGATAATCGAAACTACGGCAGACATGTAAAAAAGTTTGATTATAATTAAGGTTTAAAATTATATGGATTTATAGTTTATATTTTGTTTATTTATCATAGGCACAGAGCTCTTGCAAATGTGTAACTACTATGAAATGTTTATATAATATTTAAGTCTATAGAAAAGGTAATACAATTGCGTGAATTGCGAATGATAAAAGTCTGATGAGTTTTTCTAATGTTACATGTTCTATTTCAATTTTTATTTGTTGTTTGTATTAGTTTAATTGTCGTCTAACTGATTAGAACGATCAGAATATAATAAATATAAGATCACAAATCGATGAGTGATTTCATTTTTTACCTGTAGAGACACTAAATATAGGGATTGAAATTCACTTCTATATCTGTTGGTAATGTTGCGAGTGACACGGAAATGGTAATGGGGTTTCGAGACCCCATAAAAGTGGACCGAAAAAATGCATTGGATGAAAGGTCTACTCGTATACCTCGTCTGTGGTATTATTTCGGCCAATTTTCCCCCCCATTACCATTTTCGTGTCACTCGCAACATTACCAACAGGTTATACAAATGAACACAAGAGGAAGTGAGACAGAAAATGAAATTACAGAAACATTCCTAACCACACATAATATTTTCGATACAGAATTTTTTCCTCGAAAGTGCGTAGGATTGTTAGGAGTATGTCTATTCACCAAAAATGATTGTAATTGACCAAAGCAATCAAAAATAATTCTTTTAGAACGATTGGAAATTCTTCAATTTCGTCGAAATATTTGTTCACCTTCTTTTCGACGATTGTTATCGTGACCCGCGACATCTATCACGCTATATTACACGCTGATAGAGATATGCACGTTCGTTCGAGGGGGCGCCACCTTCTGATAGGTTGGACTCGGCCTTGCAGAGGTCCACATACCGCGAGAAATTAGAAAGATTGCCCCTGAGTAATGTTAACGATGCGAAAGAATTCTGTCTTTTTTATTAATCATTGGTTAATCATTAAACTCTTGGTGTCTCCATTGCGCGTCTGGTAATACTGAATAACCCCAGATTGAAAAGTAACTAGATAAATGTAACATACAGCCGACTCCTGTAGAGTCTGATTTTACACGTAATAGAAAGAGCACGTAAGATATGTGCATCTTTGTCTATCCAATGTAAAATCAGACTCTCGTATCTTTGTTGCCTCTCGTTCAGCATGGTTCGTGCTAGAGTCGACCGTGATAACGATATTTAACTGTACATAACACATTAACTTCCACGATAGAGAAATTTATGAATCTCAACTTTAATACCAATTAAATGTCTCATCTTTCGGGCAAACATCTCGATTAATGTTGGAGCTAGTGATTTTTTCCTTGAACCGGCAAGAATCGCCATATTCCGTCGCATATACAATATTGGAGAATTTGGAGACCACACTACCATAACGAGATGACTTTTTGATTAGATACCGCCAAACTAAACAGCACAAGGGCAAGGGGTGTAGATCGTTCGCGTCTCCTAATTTCCCCTAGAAAACCCCACTCTTACCTCTTTAGCAGTCCACGCTACATAGTAGTAGGATCTCTATATCCACGAGAGATACATTTTTGTTGTATTCATGGTTAATATTTTGAGCTTACAGCTACGCCAATGTCGTTTAATATGGTTCTATCCTACTCCATCTTGATATGTTTCGTCGCGTTCTTCGTTACGCGATGAAATTGTAGTTGTAATCGTTCAGCCAATAACGATAATGCGTGTGAGCATAGGCGTCGCTATTACGCTATAGCCAAAAGTCATCTCTCTATGGTACTAGGCCAAGGTAGAGCATCTACATTACAATATAAGATGGCTAATTTTTGAGTTTCGTTTACGTCCTGTTTTTTGTGCATTTTAGCGCATTAGTAAGCAAATGTTGTGTAAAGTCATCAGTTTTACGAACCGACGCTACCGGTGGTGTTTGATGAAATTTAATAAAAGATGTTTAAACGCGCTACATTGTTATTCGTGGTCGAACAGAACTAATAGCACACATTTAACCAAAGGTTTCAGTGATTTCATTAAAACTACGCTTGACAGAAGAAGATCAACGTTTTAATCGTATTTTGGTTCGTATTCGTTTCAAACACTTTTAAATCGTTCGTCGAAACGAGTCATATGGTTATAGCGGTTTCGTTCGATACTTCGATTATTTTGTTGCAATAATAATTCCATGCTTTTTTTAATTTCCAGACACAATGGTTGAGGATCCTAAAGCTTGCGTCCTGCAATGGACTGGCCATGCAGGATATGTTACAGAGAAATTTAGTGAACTGTTCGCACGTCAAGCTCTTGTTGATGTTACACTCGTCTGCGAAGAACAGAAACTTCGTGTTCACAAAATGGTTTTAGCATCGAATAGTACATATTTCGAGGTACGTTTAAAAAATACATTTACTGTTCTTTGAATAAGAAAACTTAACATTTCTCATTGTTTTATATATTTGAACTATCGAAGGATATTACATAATGTTCTCATGCATAATTTATTTTTCTTAAAATTATCTCATTGCGTTGATCGGACCATGTGAACAAAATGTGTAATTTGAAACTTTTACGTGGATAAATTACGAAAGAAGATATTTATGTAATGTGGAAAAACGTTAATTTCATTTTCTTATAAATGTGTATTACCTATTTATTGTAAATGTAAGTAATTAATTTTCAAAATTCAATATATTTTAACGACAAATATTAATTTAGCGGTATATCTTGTATAAGAGACGATAACAAAAATATTCAACTATCGAGTCCACCTATTATCAGAAGGATTACAAAAAATAGTTCACGGTTTTGTTCAAAATACATTTACGAGTCACGCATAAGTAAGCGTTTCATTTTTCACAAAATTATATGAAATGGCTGCTTTTTTAATTTACGTTTACGAAGAACACGTACAATAGCGAAGATACTGTTTTATCGTACTGAATTTGTAAACGCAAAGTCTTAGAAACAAGCTTTATATCTTTTCTGTTCCTTGTTTATCTCTTTATATATTTATGGATACGCGTAGAATTAATTTATGATAAATTTATAATTAAGATGTAATACGTAATAAATAAATTTGTAATTAGAGGATACTGAATACTTATGAGAGAACAATTTTACAGGGATTATGTAAAATTCATATAAAGTAAAGAAAGCCTTATATATTGGAATTTCCTTATTTATTTACAAACATTTGAAGATACCATGTTTGACGGGCATACTTTTCACAGCTTATGAAGAACACCTATTCCATATAAAGGTATTAGAGAACTAATTTGTATGAACTTGAAATAATAAAGTAAATACACAAAAGTGTAAATACTTCTCTAGAGGGTGCGTGTAATACTTTCATTCATCCGTATAACAGAATTATAGGTGTAAATCTAGCGAAGGAGAAGCGCATGAACCAAGTTGTGCAATTTCCCATTTATGAAACTTTCCTTTTTAATAACGCAACATTATTGTATATTAATTACGGTTCTTAAAAGTTAATTTACAAAGATTCTGTTGGCAGATATTTCTATAACGTGTTTAACACCGTTACGAGTGTTCTTTGCGCATAGCATCAAACTTTTGCAGCACCACGCGCGTGTAACAAACTTAAAAAGTGATTTAGAAAAAATATTAGTACCTAAAGGAATCATCCGATCATTATCGCCTTATTCTTTAAGCGCTTCAGACCTTTGTCTATTAATAAATTTCGTTTGTCTTACTTTCTGATGCAATAGGAAATTCTACAGCAAGACTTGGGCCAGGAACCAATTATATTTCTTAAAGATCTAAACTTTGAAATCTTGAAGGCCATGGTCGAATTCATGTACTGTGGAGAAACTACAATTCCTCGTCAATTATTATCACCTTTATTAACTGCTACAAAAACTTTTAAGGTAAATATTGCTGGTATTTAAGTAAAATTGTTCAAAATATTAATTTGTCAGCTTAAAATAGTCGGATTGGTTAATATTTGAAAATATATACCGTTACTTTTTGCCAGTTATTACATTAAAATGCTAGGTATGCAATGTTACATTTATATTAAAAATATATAATGCATTTATTGATAATAAACACGGTAGATACGTTCCTAGAAAATTCCGTGTTGTGTGAAACAGTGTTATACAGGGTGTTCAACCAACCCTGGGAAAAATTTTAATGGGGGATTCTAGTATTAATATAAAAGATATTGAGATTCACTAGTATCTATTTACTATGTATATTTATGTCTGTCTATATTAATAATAACATAATTGTTCTATGTATATGTGTAGGTTAAAGAGTTGGCGACCGTGGTCAATGCCATGATGACTTCCAGTGTAACGAATATTGATGGTAATACAAACACAGAGAAAAAGGTTACTAAATCAAAGATTAGAAATAATGAATCTAGTAATACAGATTACGTACGCGTAAAGTGTGATGAACTTGTCGAAAACGAGTGTTTTTTACTTTGTAATGAAAACAGTAGTGATGTTTATTCAAGTGAAAACCGATTTTTGGAAAGTAATGTTATCGTTGATACTCCCGAACAAGAATTAGAGCATATGTTGTACGAGGATTCGCAGGATCTTGATACTAGCGCAGAACAAACCGATGCACCATTTTTGGTCGAGTTATCGAGTTCTGACAATTTGATAGAAAGCCGTAGCTTGACTCCATCAAAAAATTGTGAAACGAAAGAAGTATCGAACAAGTGCTCTGAGAATAGTATAATAAGTCGTGATTTAATATGTACAAATGATGCATTAAAACCTATTTTGTATGAACAATGCTGTGATCTCTCCGATATAGATGAATGCGAAGAAAGTTCTATGTCTCTGTCGCAAACTTGCCTTCAGCAAATCGAAAAAGACTTTGCGCAATATAACTTCGAAGGTATCGATGTTCCTGGTAAAGTAGGAAAGTGCATTAAAGTTTACACGCATAAAAGGCGTAAATCTATAGATGAAATGAAACCTAAACTTACGGATGTAAATAATATCATACAAAGTCCACCATCTACCGATTGTATAGATTTGTTAGATGAACCGTCCACCGATGATATACCAGTTACACTTCTAACCTCATTAGATATGGAAAGTGCCGAATACATTATAAGTTTAAGCACCGAAAACATTCAGTCCATAGTGGGAGCTAAATTAAGTGAACAAAATACAATAAATACGTGTAAGGGAATCGAACGTATTATTGGATACGATGATCAGAAAGGTGCGACAAATAAAAAGGAATTGAACGTAGAAAATTCTGGGGGTTCCAATTGCATGAAACCGATATTACGAAGAAGTCTGCGATTGAACCATCAGGAAACAGAGGAAATTGTAAATAACAATGATACTGTTAAAGAACATCATGGAAGAGAGAGACATTTTAAAAAATCCGGTTCCCTGAACAAGATGGAGTTATGTGCCAAACGGAAACGTAAAATAAAGGACGCCGATCATAAAGTTCCGGAACAAAGTATTAATAATATAATGCAGGCCAATAAGAAAACGTTTAATACCTCTCGTAAGAATACTGCAAAATTGATCGTGAAAAAGAACAGCAAGCCTACGTATACGATATCTAGCAAAGAGAAAGACGATCAAACGGTCAAGATAACGAATAGATTGAAATGTGACGTATCGGGAACAACGGTGGAGGACTCTATTTTCACGTCGCTCAAAACAAACACCATAGAGCATATAAATCGTGCGTTATGGGGGGATATGTCGGATTTTCCAGAGGACTACGAAAATAGAATGAATTTATTGGAATACACGCCGAATACGGAAATCCCATTTGCTGTCGGATTGTTGCCTCTGCGTACTGCTCTGGAAAAAATGCAGGCAACGCCAGATTATCAGCCCCGTAAAACCCGTTCGTCGGTGGCTCCGATAAGGCAGGATAATTGTACCTTTAAAAGAAAGAGCTATACAAATTCGGAGAAAGTTACTGTCGCTAAAAAGCAGAATAGTTGTAACGGCTATGCGAAAGAGAACGCGAAAACAGTTTGCCATATTGAAATTAGAACGGCGCCGTCGCAATACATACGAAATCGTAAAAAATATTTCACAACGGGCGTTGCCTCGTTGGAAACGGCTATTATGAATAAGCAATGACAAATATTCTATATTTTGTACAAAGGGGAATATATAGTTAAGATCAATGACTCGAGAGTTTGTCCCTTGATTTCTGAAAGAATTCAAGATATATTTTTTTTATTTCTTTGGATGTATAATTTGCATTGATATCGAGTACGTCTGTACGTGTATCGAACGCTATCACAAAAATAAACGCAAGTTCCTTCTGTCGGGGGAAAAAAATATTAATATAAAATGGTTATAGAATAATGATACTTTTATGTTTGTTACGATTTTATATCGAAAACTGAAAATTATTTAAATAGTGAATATAGTATTATAGTGTTTTGTACAGTGATGAAATTCTTTTGTAAATTAATTGCGAATCGAACGCAACTGAATTCTCCGATGAAAATATTTTTTTAACGCACGAGTGTTATATTTGATGCACGTATGGATCAAAATCTAGATGTATGTACGTACACGCGCGCAACGATTCACATTTTTTTTTCAAAGTAGATTCCTTGTTGGTAATATTGTGTACATCTGCATGAAAATTTTTAATTACCTTTATTAAAAATTATACACGTGTCGTTTATAATAATGTAAATATCCCAATATTATATTTCACGGGTTGTTATCGGATAACTTTAAGGATCCTTCTATATTTTATATGATTTATTTATCATTTGTATTAACATTGTACTCTTTACTACGTTACGGCAACAAGTAAATGAAATTGTAATAACACCGGTGTAATAACTTTTATACTAACAGCAATCACTGTGAAACTATAAAGTTACAAATATATATACTATTGTATTTTTTATATTCCATATATTTCAAAATTGTTCTATATATTCATTCGCAGTATTTTTAAAAAATGTGCAGTCGCTGATCGATGTAATATAAGTGGATTGTTTGTAATAATGATATCGAAATATTTTCTATATGAATTGTATGTATACATATATACTGATAAATATACACATATTATATTTTTTTCTTCCGTAATAAATGTGTGTTCAGTGTGGTTCAACTCTTTTTGGGACACCTACCAACGTCCAAGTCTTACATCTTTTTTTTCTCAAATCGATTGTTTAAATCGACATATCGATGCGTATCGTATTACACAATTATACATTTTATCTTCGTCGTTATTTACGTTGATCGTGTAAATAATATGTTGTCCGAGTAAATAGACTAAGAAATTGTAATCTATGAAGAGGTACATGTTATATTCAATATGCTCTTGACACTGCGCAGAGGACAAAGACAGACTAAAGAAAGACAGCCATGTTTATTTATAACTAGTAATTTGATTGGCCGTGTAATGTACACCACGATATGTGTACAATCGATATGAGTAAATTACGATTCTTATTAAAGTAGTTCTCTAATTTCTGTTATACCGAAGGAAGTCGGCGAAGCACATAACGGTAATAAATTTAACTATTTCCATTTACGAGCAGAGAATGCACTGATAATCACGGTACGTTCGTGCAACGTATTCCATTAAAGAGTTTGAAATAACGAACGAATCGGACGTTATTTCTCTATTTAGACGACTCTCACGACGATAATGTCGTTACAACTCTCTAGAAAATTCGATTCTAACGTTACGTGCAAGATATGCATAATGCATGATCGATATCGCACATATGTATAATCGTCGGTGAATTAGAATCGTCTTCAACGCCATTGTGGGACACCTCTTACGCGTATGTATAAATAACAAGAGGTCACATCAAATATAAGTAGTATTTTAATGAAAATACGACATTATAGAAGACAGTTTATAAAACATATTACGGTTAATTAACAATGCTACGTTATTCGAAATGTACAACCATGCATAATACTAGTTGTAAGACACATACATGTACATGCATGCTGACGTGTAATTTATGGAAGTTCTAGTACGTGTAACATAAAATTGCAATATAATTTTATCACCTGTGTATGTAGTAAACTTAAACAAAATATATGTAATTAGCGTCAAATTAAATTAAAAACGACTGCTGGAGGAGCGAGTATTGTCGATGTTTGTTAATGTAGCTCGTTAACGTGCGAAGTTCGATGCACGTATTTGATAACCGTCAGTATTTTTAGTACCTTCTATACATATAGAGAGATCGATGGAACAGGTAGTTTAAAGATTACCGAGTTCTGTCCGCTTATCGCGAAACTTTTCTAACCGGAGGACTTTATCTGCGGAAAGGACATTGCGTACTACGTGCCATCCTAGTCTCGTGACTTAGTTGTGCAGAAGCCGGTGAAAGGTACTCGGACGCGGCCAGCCAGTCAGGTAAAGTAGGTATGTATGGTGCATGCTCGGTGTTTAGCGCTACGAGGAAGACAAACCCGACGGGGCCGACGCAGCGCACCTACAGTGCAATCAATGAGCGCATATTGATCTCAACCCTTCACGGATTTTACACCTGCAGGGGCGGATCACTCGTACACCCGGCACAGACGTATCGCGGCTTCGCCAAAAATATTATACTCGAACCTATCCACGAGCAAACATCGTTTAACGAAATTATTTACTGATCATTCATCAATGAAAATAATTTTAATTCGTTCAATTTTTTTTTATGCACATTTTATTTTACATTCGATTGCATCTGCAGCAAACCTTGTTTTTGAAATTATTGCTAATTATTTCTCAATGAAAATAATTTTAATTCGTTTAATTTATTTTTTTTTTTTCGTGCGAATTTTATTTTACATTCGATCGTATCTGCAGCAAACTTTATTTTTGAAATTATTTGCTGATTATTTATCAATGAAAATAATTTTAATTTGTTTAATTTGTTTTTTTTCTTTTTATGCGAATTTTATTTTATATTCTAGCGTATCTGCAGCAAACGTTTTTGAAATTGATCGTTTATCAATGAAAATAATTTTAATTCGTTTAATTATGTTTCTAGAGGAATTTGACGAGTATCTAATCCTATTCAAATACGGATTAACCAGCCTGACTTGAAAAATTGATTATAGAAGATATCTAAATTTTTTGTAAGAAACATTATGAATAAATATTTGTATACTGATAAAATATTAAATAATATGTATCCTATGTATATGTATAATAATACCACACATTACGTATAAAATCAAATGACAAAAATGAAAATTTTGTAAATCGAAAATTAGAAATATTATAAACTTAATTTTATTTTTGTATGTTGTTAATATTGGCACACAACAGTATTAATAATTTAAATTTTAGTATTGTTAAGTTCTTTTTTCAATGGAAAAATAATGCCATACAACACAATAAATTGTGTAGATCGTAAAATGGAAATATTGTAAACTTATTTTTATTTTTACATTTTGATATAAACCCTGAACTTTATAAAAATTAGAATCTGATATGATAATATCAACACACAATTAACAAGCATTTCAATATTCTGAACTTTTCTTGTCGATGGAGCAACAATAAATTATTAAAAAACATGTACCGTAAATATAACAACACTAATAATACCGAACGTCACAGATGACAGAAATGTAAGTATATTATGTACAAAATGGAAATACTACAAACTTAATATTATTTTAATATTTCGTGTAAACCCTGAACTTCATTAACATTGGAATCTGATACGTTGATATTGGCACAGAACATTATTAACAACTTGCATTTCGATACAGTTAACTTCGTTCCACCGACGGGAACAGCAATAAAGTATTAAATCATCGAAGCCACGAAAAGTAAAATGACTCCTCAGTTTTCGTCTCGACAATCTCATGGCATCGATAACCTGAAACTCGATAGAAATTTCGATATCTCGCGCAGGCGAATGTTTAACAGCAACGAACAGTCGAAATAAGCGTCGGGCCTCTAATTTTGTCTGTCAAATTGTCAGTAGCTCGTGCGAATTACGCCGGAGTTCCTTAGACGGTGTTACGTAAAATAAAGTAGGTGGAAGAAGTCTCCTAGTCTAACACGAGCGCCGGAAGCTTCGAAACGATTGCGGTAATGGGTGCAAACTATCGAATCCTTCCATCGTTAAAGCGAATCCGAAATAATTTCCGGGTCGTTTCACGGTAAATGTAACGCCGGTATCGCGTGGCAAAACGAGCGCCGTTTAAACACGCGCGATCGCGATCGTTGTATTAACAAAAATTTACCGTTCCGATCGCTAACTGGACGTAAATGAATTTAGGCGCGCTGAAACGTGGTTGACGGAGGCACGGCTAGGTGGCGCGTCGATCGATGCCGCGAGCGAACAGGGGGACATGATTGGTCGCTTCGAACGTAGTGGCAGACATGTGTTTCGTTTCCCGCCTAGTGGGTTGTTATTGTGTGGGGGCCCCGTCAGTCCGGTGAGTCGAGCGTAGAGAGCATAGGGCCTAGGTCAGAATCGAACCGCCGTTGGGTTGGCTCCTCGGTACGGTGGTGGCTCTGTGCGACTGGTGACCGACCGTGGTCCGTCCGTCATATTCCCGGTTTGAAAGCAAGGTTGCGACTAGTTGTTGCGACGCAGGAAGGTGCAGTGATCTGTGTACGGAGTTGGAAACGGGTCTGCCGGCCATGGAGAAGCGGATATATCTCGAGAAACGGGGAAGAATCCCCGGCGAAGTAAGCCGAAACCCCACTATATTTTATTACGTTGCTTTCCACGATCACGGGACGAAACGCGGGTTGTTGCGTGGTTGGTGTTCTATCGTGTACACGGCGACCAGAGCGGGTGCGGAGTGAATCGTGTTACCTCGCGCGACACCGACACCACGCATTCGCTCTGCGGCACGCCACTGGCTCCTCGAGGACGCACGGGAAACTCGGATTTCTTGACGGCGACCGCGTGGCCCCGACGATTTATCGGAACAAGAACCGACGTATTCACGGCGCCGACACGAGATGCTACGCCTGCCACGAGAGTAACAGGCATGGCGTGGTTCGGTTGAACGCCTCGTCCCCTTGGGTTTTTCACCACCTCGTACACCGCCGCGACGCATTTTCTCGCGTTTTTATTTTTTTATTTTCTTTGCCCACGCTTCGCGACCGCCGCGGAGTCTCTCGCCGACGAAAAATTCGAAAAAAAAAAAAACTCCCGACTGGGTCAGTCGGCTGGAAAGCAGAAGTTTTCCAAAAGTTTTTGCTGCGAGGCTTTTACGCTCGACTCTCCTCGCGAACGCGTTTATTATGCTCGAGAAGAAAGCACCGTGCGACTCGAAAGTTACGTGCGCTAAAATTTTAATTTATTATTTTATTCGAAACGAAACGTATGGTATTGTATGTATATGTTATGCCCTGCTGGTTCGTGATGTAATACATCGCAGAATCAGCGTCGTTGGCATAGAAAGTAAAACGTGTTTAATCAATGGAGACATTACTCTGTTCTTACAATGGCTGATTTTTTCATATATATATACATACATGTTCCCTCGTTCGCGCAAAAAAAAAAAAAAAAGAAAAGGTGCACGAGAAATTTATATTTATACGGGCGTTCGACCGAACAATAAGCTTGCTTTAATTTCCGTAATGTGATTTGCCTTGATCGCCGTTCTGTTAATTAATCGATCTTTAAAAACATACACGAGATAACTTCGTACTAAATTGTTTCTTGGAAAATTTCCAAGCCATGTGACTCGAAAACGTACTCTTCTGGTTTACTTTAATTAATATTTTCGTGTAAAAAATATAATTATTACCATATGTTACAAATCTCTCGTGTATTTTGCCTGCTCCGGTCGAAACGGTAATTAAAATACACCAATTGTTGACTTTGCTTTGTTAGATATTCGCTGCGAAAGAAAGTTTATTTTTCAAAACATGTGCTAAAATTTTCAGATGTGTAACTGGTGAATATATGTGATCGTGTCGCGGAAAAATAGGGTAATTTTAAATACGATAGTTTCTTATTTGAAATACCGTGTTATACGCAAGTCGTGTGATCAAATTATAGCGTGGCGTGGCTGTCTCTAGGAGCCTCTTTTTTTAAAACTGCCGTGCATCGTACGTGTTTCTACTACAAAAGTAGTCGCATCTTTCTAAATCGTCCGCTAAAGAGATTCAGAAAATTAATTATTCGCAATATGTTACGATATCGTTCCCGATGCTTGTTTGTTGCTTTTCCCGCAAACGCGATAGCAAAGTGTAAAGAGGCTTTGACAAGATGGTGCCCCGTTCGAACGAGTTTTGAAACATATGTAACCCCATATGCATCTACGGACAAGTTACGGTCACTTGCATACGAAGTATTATGTCAGAGTATAACAATCGTTCGACCGCGATTTTCGTCGATCGAAAAATGTAGAATCCGTCAAGGTCAAATAGAAACTCGGATCTAAACATTGCACTTTACGATACATCGTATTTTCCTGTGAAATAATTTATTTTATTTTCTTTACCCGACGAAACGTGTGCTCCGTGATAAAAAACAATTCGCGTATAAATATCCGAAAAAATTGGTAATGGCTCGAAATCCGAGTTCAAAGAAACCACGATCAGTTAAACGTGTTTTGTGCTACTTAGAAATCGTCGTACGATAAATATTTTTATTTTAATACCTGGTGAGAATTAAATCGCGAGATTACCGTGGCAATGAATTCTCGTTTCGAAACCGTGTTAAATTACGTGGATTTCGTTGATTTTGTTTACACATGGTAAAGGTATATTATGTAAATCAATTATCAGCGGGAAGAGCTGTGCATGCCATGAGGTGCTACGCCGAGATGCGCGTGCGAGTGGACGTCGCCATTATTTTCCGGGTTGCGCGCGAGAATATTTCTCCGTCCCACGATTATATTTCCCCATACGCCTGGCCGAACACCCCGTGTTCGAAACTATCCCCGATCGTTTCCAACGTACGCGAATAATGGCGAGCGGGACCGCGCGTTAAGTTTGTTGTGTGTTCAATCTACGATCTCGATTCATGGCGTGTTACTGATCACTGTGCGGCCATCTTGGACGAGTCCACTCTGTCACCAACTGACACGAGTACGTTTCAGAGTAATAAGAGATCCCAAATAACAATCCCTCGCGCGCTTACACTATGCGATAAATTTTGTCATAATGATCGGTGAATATTCGACGCCACGATATCGACTAATTTTAATATTATTAATATAGAACGCATATGCGTGGGTGTTAGCACCTAACCACCGGCGTTGCGATGCGGTTCATTCGACAGTGCTGTAGTTACTACTTTGTAGACCACGAAGCAGAGTGAAATTTTTTTTTCAATTTTTTTTTTTTATACGATACCCGTCTTTTAATCGATCAAGTCTATTTTATCATCGAGATATAGTAATACAGAGAAATTACAGTCTCGTTCAGATTTTTTTTAAATACGATATTTTTCTGGCATCTTCTCTACGTTGGTATTTTCCATTCCATTTCGCAGAAATTGAATTATTTTGATCTGGCAACAATTATTTGCCACGTACCCAAATCCAAATTCAACGCTCCCCTTAAACTCATTTAGCGACGAAACATCGTCATTTATTCGTTTCGTGGTTCTCATTGATCCGCTCCTATAAACCACGGACACTCGTAAAATGCTTCCACTACGATCAGTGCAACGCACGGCGCAGCCAATCAGCCGGTCGGTCGGAATGTCGGGCAATGAATCTAAGATAAGGACATGCGACGACTCGGAAAGCCCAGCATGAAAGCACCTCGTCCGTCGCTAAAGTCCGCCACGCAACAGTGTATTCGATTTTATACCGTTCCGCCTCCGTAATTTTCTTTTAATAAAGCATCGATCCGTACGCTCGCACGTTAATCGAATAAATTACATTTTTTTTCAGACGATTAACGCGCTGACTGTAGCGCCAGTTCTTCGAACTAGAAATATATTTGTCGTCCGTTCAAATTATACCATTCTTAACGAGAGCAATGTTAGTTAATATTTTGGTCAAATTCGTTTCACCATTAAAAATAATTTTTAACCACGTCGGCGGTTGAAACAAGCGAATAACACGCATATGCTGAAAGAGTCGTTTTGTATTAATAAAAATAATATTTGGGTAACGCGGGGGCCTAAAATTATTCCAGATTCGTTACTGTCGCGTGCCGCAGGCAGTATGTACTTATCGTTTACCGGCTTTTCTGATGCCGCTAAACAAGACGCGTCGTACACTCCGCTACTATCATCCCCCCTGTATCCCGGGAACCCCCGTCGCACTTCTCTCCCCTGTTTCTCCTGTTTCCTTTCTATCTCCCCTCTCTCTTCACCTTTCTCTTTCTCCGATCAATAAAATAGCCCATCTCCCGCGAAAGCTTATCGTTCGTTTGAATTTCAGCGTCTATCGCCCGACTTTTTTCAAACGCAGTTTTTATGCCCACATCGCGCACCATACCCACGTTTACAAACGTAATCGAAACGCAAAAACCTACCCAAGTGCTCGATCCAATTGGCAAATCTTAAAGATTGAGACTATCTTTAATTTCGAAAAACGTGGTCTTCGATTTTACCCAAAAAATGTATTTTAATTCTTTCAGGCGGAAAGTAACATTCAGAGAAATGTTATTCAAAGCTCGATAAAGTATCATATCGTTTATATGTAAATTGTTGTTCCATTTCAGATTAAAGAACTTGTCCTTGACAATTGTCGAAGCACGTATATCATAGGTCTGACAGACGAATTTGCTGCTTTAGAAACATTAAGTCTTATTAACGTGGGACTTACCAGTCTAAAAGGCTTTCCAAAATTGCCAAGTCTCAAAAAGGTGAGATACCGGCAACATTCTATGGATGATATTAAAACAATGATATATATCCTAAACGAATGTATTAAATGTAAATAATCTTTGTCCGGTGTAGTTGGAACTGAGCGACAACAGAATTTCTGGCGGTTTAAATCTTCTCCATACAAGTCCCAAGTTAATTAATCTTAATCTTAGTGGCAATAAGATCAAAGATTTCGAAACGCTTCAACCTTTAGTAAGTTCTGACATTTCAAATCCGAAGTACTTTATAGAATTTCTGTAAATGTTTAAAATATCATTTTGATTTATAGAAAGAGTTTAAGAACTTGAAGAATCTTGATTTCTTCAACAATGAGGTTACAAACTTGGATAGTTATAGAGAGAAAGTGTTTAGTCTTATTCCCAGTCTTCGATATCTCGATGGGTACGTACATTCAATGTAATTTAAAATTGTGATAAAGTTTTAAAGTATGAATTCTGTTATACGATAGATTCGACATGGAGGATCGCGAAGCAGAGGATACAGAAGGAGAAGACGATGAAGTAAATGGAAATGAAGATGCAGATGGAGATGCTAACGAAGAGGATAGCGAAGAAGGTTAGCAAAGTTACAAACGTAACAAAGTTAAAAGATCTTGCCAGACATTTGATCTGATCTGAATCTATAACGCTCAGCAAATCTTAATCGTAGGTGTAATCTTTTAGTTTCAGACGAGGAGGACGATGAGGATTTTGACGAAGGTGGTGTAGGATTAGAAGCTGTCTACAAGGGTGACTTAGAGGTTAGTCGCTTATCATGTCACGATGCATAGAATGTAATATTTCCAACCATAGTTAACATTTAAAATTTAACATAATCCCTGCTTGCAGAAATCAACCATAAACGTAGTTAATTTTTATAAATTCTAATCGGTGTTTGTTCGATCGATGTGTTACAGGATGATAGCGACGAAGATGATTTCTTATGCGAAGAAGAGGAAGAGGAAGATGACGATGATGGCGAGGATGATGAGCAAGACGAGGAAGAAGGTAAATATCTTGCTTATCGATTTATTTATAATTTTTAATCAAAGCGAATAGTTTTGTTCGTTACACGGAGAATTGAATGTCGTTTTAAAAAAATGTATAATAAATTTTATTACGTGTTGTTTTACGCATTGTATAGAATCGTCTCCAGCTCGAGGCAAAAAGAGAAAACATGAAGACGGAGAGTCAGGGAACTAGAACCATTGAGAACAGGTTTCTGATACTGTTGAATGAGTGTAAAATTCATATAAATAATAACAATAATTGAGACGCCGAGTGAACACCTGGGAATCAAACTAATTGACCGACCAATGACAGACTACAGTTAATTGTGTGAATTTATCAGTAAATCATTGACTGACAAATTGTCTGTGGAACAACAAACGATTTACCATTACGGAGAAGAGGAATATGAATGAATACGAAAAATGGATAATGATGGCATGAAATAGGGCTGCATTCCAGCTGGGCACAGCACGTTTTAGTTATACTAACGATATTTTATATAGAGTATATAGTTAGAATATTAGTGGTGTTGCATAGTGGGCGAAAGATCAGATTTTGAAGGACTCGAGGAAGGCGGCGGTGGAGTTTTACACTTGAAAGGAGCATATTTGTCTGTTAGCTCCAGTCGGCCAAAGGCTGGTCACGCTGGAATGCAGCCATCGTTAATCAGTACTAAGGTTACATAAGTTACATTTTAAATACATTATTATTGTACTATGAATAAGTCTAGAGTACACGAGGAACAACTTTTGTACAGGTTTACACCATACATTGGGGTGCATCACGCCTCTGTGATTTTTGGGACAGAAAATAAAGAGATAAATGTATGTTTGCTCGTACATTGAGCTTATATCTGTGAACGTCGTATTGAGATATAAATTACATCATAAGAACGAAGAAATAATAAAGAAAAAAAAAATCAAGTATGTATATTTCGTTTCTTAGAATAATAGTTATCGAAATGTATCGTTGATATCGATTAAAAACAAATCTGTCAAAGCTCGTGAAAAGGTATCGTAATATTTTCAGTTATATTGTTTCGATATAAGTTAAATACTTTCGGTCTTTTAAGAAATAACAAATCTTGGAAGAAACTGTAAAATAATATAAGAACACACAATTTCCATTGTGGTATCCTAACTCGTAATGTCTAGTAAATTTTAAGTTCCGGATGTCCTGTGTACATTGGCAATAAGCTGTACGGTACATGGCTGTTAAGATTATTGTTATTTACTTTCGGGCATTCCATGTGCTAACATGTTATGCTCCGCTATAACAAATTCATCATATTATTAATATTATTGTAATATCTTCCCGTTTCAAATTACAGACATTTAGCTATAATAATTAAATGTTTTTATATCACTAAATCATACAGTTTTTTACAATAACAATAGAATTACTTATTGGGTAGTTTTGTTCATACACTACAAGACTAGGTGTTTGTAACATAATATTAAAACAAAATCAAAATTTCAAATTGCTTGTAAATCCATGATTACCTTTAATTTCTGTCTCTGAAGTTACCATAGCGCTGACACATCTCGTGATAAATTAAAGTGCGAAGTTAATTGGTAATTGATCATTAATATTATTAATATTAAATTACTATTATGATTTAAAAAAAAAAGAAGGGAAAAAAATATTTACATTTGCGCTTTCGCACTTTTGAAATCGTATTTAAAAAAAAAAAAAAAAAGTCAGAAACGCAAAGTTTTAGGTTGTAGAGGAAAGACAAAAACTCGAGAAATAGGGGCAAAAAAGAAAAAAAAAAATAAAAAGGTGGATCAGACGATGTAGTTAATGGTGAGACTGTGGCAAAATGGATTACCGGACGGACTACCAATTAACTACGTGATCGTGAGAATGGATGGGAGTGAAAATAGCGTGTGAGAGTGCAAGAGAGGATCGGTTTTATAAGAAAAAAAAAAAAAAAAAATAAATAAAATTATGGTAGAGTCGAGGATCTGGCGCCTCTTTGTCGCCAGTTTGGTTATGGCCTTATCCAATTTTTCCAAGACTAAAGCAAATTTATATTAGGTACAATGAGTATATGACATGTACAGGTCCAAAAATCTGTAAATTTCCAATCTGCAATTTCTAATTGCGGTCCGCGCGGATGTCGTATTAAAAGTTAAATTATAAATAAAGAAATTAAATTATAATTAAAAGAATTAAATTATAAATAATTGAACATTCCGCGCGTACCGCGACAACACACTTTTGTCAATTGCAACTTTGGATAGCCATTTACGTAATCTAACACCTTCTATTATCAGGTATATTACGTCTGCGTATTGTCCGTCTGTTCCGTTGTTGAAATGGATTTTTATCATAACGTTTGTTTATTTCGAGCAATCCTCATCACAAAATAAGAAAAAATAATTTATTAATAAAACCATTTACAAATCAAAAATTGCATTGTAGCGATTATTAACCTCACTTTTTTTATATTTAAGCTATTTAGTATACTATTTTCACTTTACATACAGGATACTCGGCCACCTCTGGGACAAATTTTAGTGGAAGGTTCTAGAGGCCAAAATAAGACGAAAATCAAGAATATCAATTTGTTGATGGAGGCTTAGTTAAAAAGTTATTAACAATTAAATTGAAAAATTTTAAATCGTTCTGGAAAAATTATTTTAGGTTACAGGGCTCAATTATAATCAATTTTGGTCAATAGACATACCCCCGAAATCCTGTCCACTTTCTAAAAAAAAATTCAAGAAGGTGTGAAATTTTTCGACAAAAAAAAATTTTTCAAATCGTTCTGGAAAAATTATTTTAGGTTACAGACCTCAATTATAATCAATTTTGTTAAATAGATATATCCCCGAAATCCTGTCCATTTAATAAAAAAAAATTCGAGAAGGTGTGAAATTTTTCGACAAAAAAAATGTTTCAAATCATTCTGGAAAAATTATTTTCGGTTGTGGTAGTAAATTATAATCATTTTTGGTGAATACACATACCTTCAAAATCCTACTCACTTTCGAGAAAAAAAATCGGATTGGTGCAGAAATTTTTTGACAACAAAAATTATTTCAAATCGTTCTAAAAAAATTATTTTCGGTTTCGAGGGTCAATTACAATCATTTTTGGTGGATACACATACCTTCAAAATCCTACTCACTTTCGAGAAAAAAAATTGGGTTGGTGCAGAAATTTTTCGACAACAAAAATTTTTTCAAATCGTTCTAAAAAAATTATTTTCGGTTGAGGGGGTCAATTACAATTATTTTTGGTGAATACACATACCCCCGAAATCCTGCTCATTTTCGAGAAAAAAATTCAGTACGGTTGGAACTTTAAACGTGAATAACTTTGTAACGAAGCCTCCATCAACAAATTTCGTCGTATTTTGGCCTCTAGAATACCCCATTAAAATTTTTCCCAGGGGTGGTCGAACACCCTGTATATAATTTGCTTAATTTACAATAAATTTGTCACAAACGAAAATTTCTCGCTAATATTTTACATAATAAACTGTCCAAGTGTACCTAAAAACATTATTCCTTAAATATTGAACGTTGCAATATTCTTTACAACGAATTAATGTAAAATTGTAAATGACGGTTCCAAGCTATTCTTGAACGCTGTGATTTGACCATCGACATTTTGAGATACAAGAAGCTGGCACGACAGTCGTTAATCAATTATTTATGTTCGGGTCTGTTTGTTTTGATGATAATTTTGTTTTTCTGCTCGTCGAGAGGTGACCTTTTTATTCTGTTATACCAACAGTTCCGCGTCGTGGACGGTGCTGCCGCTACGCGTCGGCTTCCGTAAACCCGATAACCCAGCCTCGGTGTGAAATTTCGCGTTCGGTGTTCAGTCTTCAGTGTTTCTCCGCGCTTCCGTTCGTGCGTTTTGTCCGTGGTTCGGGTCTGCAGGGAAGGCAAAAGTCGGTCGGAACACGAAGTTGATTTTAGTGTTTTGCGCAGCAATTTCGAGGTCGTCAGATTTTAAACAACGCTTAGGAAAAATGGCTGAAAGCAAGGGCGCGTTGATCGCGAAAACAGTGCAAAAACATGCGGGCAGAGCGAAGGAGAAGGTAAGTGTACCACGTATTTCTATCTTCGTAACAGGTTTCCACAGGGACCGTAACAGCGAATCGAACGGTTCCTACAAAACACTATTTTTACGAACGGTCACCCGTTCCCTTCCGTCGCTCGTGCACGCATCGTTTTTTTTTATCGTTTACGCGGTTTCATAACCTCTCGGGGCAATTAGCTGGCCCCCGTAAGGCGTCGCGTTTTTCTCAAATCTGACGTTTCGCGATTCATGCTAATTTTTTTTTCCAGAGATCTTTCGCACCATTTTGAAAACAAGCCGGTACGCTCCTCGCATTCTCTTATTGTTCACGCAGAGGTGACTTATATAATCGGTAAACATGTAGCCAGTTGTGTAGCAGAGTTTCATTTAAAATGACAATTATGCAACTCCTGGGCTTGGTTCAGCGTAGCCAGTGCATATATCGCAGGTACATCTTCCACGTCGGTTGGACACTCTCGGCCCGATGCAATTGTAAGCCGGGTGGATTGTCACGTGACGCGAATTTTTTGCCGTTAGTCGTCGGAACGCTTGCGTTTTCAGGCTAACGAATATCTTTGAATAAAACCCGACATCTCTCGCGGTGGCGTTTTATCTTTTTTCCTCGAATCAATGTCGTTCCGTCAACCGTTCTGGCCGATACAAAGTGTGTTAAGCATTGATCGAGCAATTAACGGTTTCTCGGTACGCGTATTTTCCAGTTAAAGATATCGCGTTGCAAAAACCAGAAAGAAATAAGTCGAGCGTTTTTTAATTCACCGGAAACTGCACCATATATATATACACCTTGTTACTGAATTTTATTGATCCTCTTTCATAATGTACTTTTAATCTCTTTGCGCGTATTCGCTGTAATTCAAAGTGGAGATGCAGTCCTTCGAATCGTTATGTATTATATAATGGTACTTCGTGCGGATCGTTTCGCTTTTATATTTCGATGTCGAAAAGATTCACGTTATTTGGCTTCCTTTTTCCAGACGTTCGTCGCGAGAGATATTTAAGAATTATTTAGAAGCCTTGGATGAATAAAAATTGATATTTAGGTAACAGTTCTCATGGAATAGTAGAATGTTGTTAGAGGATGCGATTAATGTTTACACCGAGTCATTGACCCAGTGCAATGCGATCTCAAAATGACCTTGGGAGTTAATGACCCCGGCAAAACGTATACAATAACAACATTGTTTCGATCGATGTCTCTTCGTATTCCTGATATTTGTCACTTGTGTTGATGAACACCGGATAAAAAAAACCGTGTAATTTTGAGACGATCCCCACTTACATCTCCCACACTTAAAATCTCTGTTAACCGGAAACCATAATACGAGGGTTTCGGAGAAAAAGTGTTGTTCAGGAAGGCACGTGCGTAATAACACGTTCACGATATCCATTTAAACACACGTATGTTTGTTACATTTTGTGAAAAAACATGGTAATTTTTATTTGTTTCTTTTAAAATATGTTTGTATGGTGTCGACTCTCCTTTCACAGTTTGTTTTAGCACTTTGACTGCCAAATCACCCGTATGTGGGTGACAGGATTTATCACCTTGATACTAGGAAAATTAATTCTCAAGTCGAGACGAAATTTTGGATAGAATTTGTGACTTTTAGCAAAGTTACGAAACTAAGTAACAATTTTTAGGTTATGTAGCTTGCAATGGTCCAAAATCAAAATTTTACTTTTGCTGAATATTATTTTGATCTGGCAGTGAGCGTGTTGATCGAGGGAAAAATTTTAATGGGAGATTCTGGAGGCCAAAATAAGACGAAAATCAAGAATATCAATTTGTTAATAGAAGCTTCGTTAAAAAGTTATTAACGTTTAAAGTTCCGCCCATACTGAATTTTTTTCTCGAAAATGCGCAGGATTTCGTGGGTATATATATCTGTTCACCAAAAATTATTGTAATTGACCCCCGCAACCGAAAATAATTTTTTCAGAATGATTTGAAAGTTTTCAATTCTGGCGAAAAATTTCACACATTCTCGAATTTTTTTCTCGAAAGTGTGTAGGATTTCGAGGGTATGTGTATTCACCAAAAATGATTGTAATTGACCCCCGCAGCTGGAAATAATTTTTTCAGGACGATTTGAAATCTTTTTTTTCGTCGAAAAATTTAGGTCCTGTCGATGTTTCTTGAAAATTAGTTTTTCATTTTTAATAAATTTGTTTGACGCTGTACGAAAAAGTTGTTTAGTACTTTTTTGTTGGTATCCATGAGCTCTATATCCAGATTAAATTTCAATGAGATACACCTACTATTGTAGGAGTTATGGTCGATCGAAAATTGGACCATTTTTATGTGGTTTTTCTTACTTTTGCGGGGTCGAGGAACAACTTTTCGAATGTTTTTGAAATTTCTACATATTGTTCACTAAAATATGCGTTATTTGCATTTTGAAACATTAAAATCCGTCAATCCGTTCAGAAGTTATGGCGTTTTAAAGTTACGCTCGAAATTTTGGAGTGACATTTTTGGAGTGGAATTTTTTTCTCGAAAATGGTTAGGAATTTGTGGGTATGTCTATTCACCAAAAATGTTCCTAATTGATCCCCGCAACCGAAAATAATTTTTCCAAAACGATTTGAAATTTTCTTTTTCCTTCAAAAAATTTCACATCTTCTCGAATTTTTTTCTAGAAACTGGGTAGAATTTTGGGGATATCTCTATTCACCAAAAATGATTGTAATCGACCCCCACAACCGAAAATAATTTTTCCAAAACGATTTGATGTTTTTGAATTTAATTGTTAATAAGTTTTGTACGAAGCCTCCATCAACAAATTGGTATTCTTGATTTTCGTCGTATTTTGACCTCTAGAATCTCCCATTAAAATTTTTCCCAGTGGTGGCTGAACACCATGTATAAAAAGTTATAAAAAATGGTCGCTCGTAGCGGAGGAAAGACCGCGAACTAGGTTCCCTTCTCGAAGGGAACAAAGTAAATACAGTAGAGGCTCCAGCGCCATATTGTTTCCGAGAAAGAGATTTTTCTTTCTCTCGTAGCGGCCGATCGCGTCTCGAAAGTTGAAAACAATTGGGTCAACGACGACGGGTCGCAAGTTTGTCCAGAGATTTTGTCGATTCTACGCGAGCGTGTTATTTTTGAATTTTGGTTTTCATCGTGCGGGAACACGCTGGTTAGAGAATCGTAGGATCTTATAATTCGTAGGTGTTTTAAGTTGCTTTCACGGTACAAGTTATAGACTTATCTGGTAGAACCGGTCTAAGGTATCGTCATGGCGAGGTTATACACTGCACACCACTCTCGGCCAAACCGTGAACTGGGCTTAAATCGAGGAAATGGCAGAAAATCGGTTTTCAAATCGCCGGGCCCGCAGACGCAACAAACTATAGTCGCGATCAAAAGTCGTACTAAAATATTGCATTTCGTCTGAATATTGCTACTTTTTAAGTATACAATTTCCTCAATATTGGTAACAGTGAATTTAGTATGAATTATTTACAATATTCGAAACGTACATATCAAGTCTAACTTAAATAAAATGATTCATCGTACATCACTACTTGTTGCATATACAGTTGTAGAATAATTGATTATAAAAAAATATATAACAGGATTAAATAACAAAATGCCTTCTGCATAAAATGATGGAGTCATGTGGGAATTGGATAATTACTTTCATTGATACATAGAATGATATTTTAAGCACAGGACATTTAATTATCTTCTAATAGTAATATTAAATTAAAAAAAAAAAATATTTATAGTATCCTATGTATCTTCGTTAATATTACGAAGTTTAAATTTTATTTGTAAGACTACAGTTACGAGAACTTATAGCCGTTGGAGGGGGGCTGAGAAAAAGTTCCCATCTCGGGAAATTATAAATAAAAATAAAAGTATAGAAGTTTCGAAGATTGACATTTGTCAGCGAATAAAGAAATCGTTTGAAGCGATTAAAATTCAGATAATAGATTCTATTGGTTAATGAGAGGAGGGATTCAAGCCCTTATAGCCCCTCCCCTATATCCGCCATTGCCAGCGGACCCGCAGACTACACTTTGAATAAGGCTGCCATAGACAAATCAATTTTACATTGGTTATTAAAATATCCGTACATTTTCCTTTAATATAAATGCCCGGAAAACATGTTTTTTATTAACATTTTCTAGTTTTATCAGATTTGTTTATTACATCGCTACCATCAAAACCAAAAATTTCAAATCGTTCTGGAAAAATTATTTTCGGTTGCGGGGGTCAATTACAATCATTTTTGGTCATTACACATACCCTCGAAATCCTACGCAGTTTCGAGAAAAAAATTCCTTACCGAAAATCTAATTAGATGCATTTTTCGATGAAAAAAAAGAATTTCAAATCGTTTTAGAAAAATTATTTTCAGTTGCGGGGGTTAGTTACAATCATTTTTGGTCATTACACATACCCCCGAAATCCTACCCACTTTCTAGAAAAAAATTCGAGAAGGTGTGAAATTTTTCGACGGGGGGAAAAAATGTCAAATCGTTTTGGAAAAATTATTTTCGGTTGCGGTGGTCAATTACAATCATTTTTAATGAATAGACATACCCCCAAAATCTTGCGCGTTTTCGAGAAAAAAATTCAGTACAAACGAAACTTTAAACATTAATAACTTTTTAACGAAGCCTCCATCAGCAAATTGGTATTCTTGATTTTCGTCTTATTTTGGCCTCTAGAATCCCCCATTAAAATTTTTCCCAGGGTTGGTCGAACACCCTGCACAGGTTAATTAATAACATATATAATAATAAAACATATTATATGAAATATTGAGTACTTTTGTTTAGTAGTGTATATACATACGTATGTATACTACAAACCGAGGATAGTTAAGACACTTTTCTCGTGTGGCATACCACAGGCTGCGGTATCGTGCATTATATCAGCATTCACCTTCGTATTTGCCTGACTGCCGGTGAAAACGAGAGGACGATTCTTCTGTAACGAGAACGTAGCAACGGCCTGGCTGAAAGTGTTCTGTAATCTTCGAGAAC